ACAGAGCAGAAGAAGTTGTTAAACACATATGGCAAAATCTTACTGAAGCGACCATACGAGTCATAAATACTCATACTCCGCCCAAGTAAAACAGAAACAAGCAACACTTAGTGGGCCAGCCAGAGGGTTAGGGCCCGCGCAGGAATATCCCTGCAAAAAAAAAAAAACTCTTGTCTCCCGCCATAGTTCATTCTTGTATTTTCGCTATTACCAGTTCAATTTCCTTAAGAATCAAAATATAGTTATTTCATACCCATTAAGAACAAATGAAATGGTTACCAAGCTCTGGCTCTTGCCCCTTTGTAATTTGTTCAATGATCGCCAAAACACAGTTATTTCAACAACAAGAGTCCAGCTCTCAACCGTTTATCAAAGTAAACGTGTTTCCCAGATTAAAGTCCATTCTTATCATTGTAGGTAAACATGAGTCAAAACCTGACCTTCGATACACATGTGTAAATAAACACTCGCCAGGTATGGATAACCTCCCATAACAGACCTTATCTCTCTCTCTCTCTCTCCCCTTCCTCCACCTTCCCCCTGACCCCCCTCCTGGCCACTCCTGCCTCCTCCTCAATCATCACACACACTCCAGTCCGCTCACTTACCTCCTCCCTTCCTCATCCCCCCCCCCCCACCACTCAGCACTGTGGAGAAATGCCCAACAGACCACCGGATGTGGTTATCTAACACAGTGCAGAGTTAGAAACCCATTAAGATTTTAAATTAGATTCTACAGAGCAGAAGTTGTTAAACACATGGGGGCAAAATCTTATTGAAGTGACCATACGAGTCATAAATACTCATACTCCGCCTAAGTAAAACAGAAACAAGCAACACTTCGTGGGCCAGATAGAGGCTTAGGGCCCGCGCAGGAACATCATTGCCCCCAAAAATAATAAATTACAACGTAAACAAACTTTCCATGCGCCCTTATCGTCCCCCCTCATCTCCCCTCTACATCCCCTGCACCTCACCCCCTTCCCCAACTCTACCCATACCTCCCCCCTCTCCAGATCTCTTCTCAACTCTGCCCTCGAGATTTTAAATTTGTTTTCGCATCTCTCATTTCACCCGTTCTTCATCTATCTCTTGGTAATGTTCTATTATTATCTGTTCCATGAGACGAAATGGCATGGAACATAAAATAACTAAATTTTATTCTATATATAACTATATTCTCATAAAATAACTATATTTTAATTCTTAAGGAAATTTAACTGCTAATAGCGAAAATACAAAAGTGAACTATGGCGGGAGACAAAAGTTGAAACTCGGTAACTCTATTTTCTTTTCTTAATGTGTCTGAAAAAAATATGTTTTAATTCTTAGGGGAATTAATCTGTTAATAACGAACTTACAAGAGCCAATTAAGGAGGGGACAAGAGCCGGAGCTCTGTAACTGAATTTATATATTTTCCTACGTTCGAAATACAACGGTTTTAAATATCAAGGGATTTGGAGTGTTAGTAGCGAAACTACACTTATAAACGTATAGAGTTGGGTTCAAGAACTAAGAGTTACGAGAGACAACTAAGATGGAGGACGGGAGCTGAAACGCGATAACCCAATTTTCTCTTCTCACAACGTCTGAAATATGACTGTTTTAAATTGCATAAAAATTGGGCTATTAATAACGATGATATATGAATGAACTTAGGCAGGGGGACAAGAGCCGGAGCTCGGTAACTATCCTTGTCTCGTTTACTACGTCCGAATTACAGCAGTTTTAAATTTTAGGGAAATTGGACTGTTTGTAGCGAAACTACACTTATAAACGTTTAGAGCTGGGCTCAAGAACTAACATCTGATACTGGGAATTACTTAACAAACTCCTAATGAACATATTCTCTGAAAATGGACTTGGTAAAGTACAGACGATATTTTTTGTCATAAGAATTCCTTAAGAATACAAGTATATTTTCTACATAAAAATTTCTTAACACAGAAGCGAGTATATTTTTCCTATGAGATTTTCCTTAAGATCAAAAAGAGTATATTTTCTAATATAAGTGATGAATTGTGGCCATAAGAACTCCTTAACACCGCAGCTTAAACATTTTCTCCATAACAATTCCTTAAGACCGCAGAGTTTATTTTTCCCCATAAGAACGCCTAAGACCGCAGCTTAAACGTTTTTCAACCCAAACAGTTTAAGCTACGCTGTCTGACTATTTGTTCATTTGATGCATCACGTTAGTGTGATTTCTGTGTATAATGATGTAAGGGCGAAGAGGGAGAACGGCCTAATGACATAGCTCGGGTGCAGGGGGGAGTTGTGTAAAACCCTGGTTTGTGCCTCGGAGAGGCTGCGAGATCCAGTAAGTTCACTAGAACTTCGGTTTCAACTCTTTTAACCCTGTCGTAGCTCAGTCGATTAAGGCAGTGTCTGGGATGCTCCCGGACGCAGGTTCGTACCCTCGTCACGGCCCTTGTGGATTTGTTCATTTGCTCATTTCATCTCTGCGGATCTACTGACATCATCTTTGTGGGCCTGCGGACCTCATCTCTGTGGACCTGCTGACTACATCCCTGTATGGCTGCTGACTTCACCTCTGCGGGCCTGCTGACTTCGTCTCTGCAGACGAAGGCCTGCTGATTTCATCTCTGCTGGCCAGCAGACTTCATCTCTGCGGACCTGCTGACTTCATCTTTGCGGGCCTGCTGACTTCATCTCTTTGGACCTGCTGACTTTATCTCTACAAACCTGCTGACTTCATCTCTTTGGACCTGCTGACTTTATCTCTACAAACCTGCTGACTTCATCTCTGCAGGCCTGCTGACTTGATCTTTGCGGCCTGCTGACTTAATTTCTGTTGGCCTGCTGACTTCATCTCTGACTAATGCCCAACTCTACCCGGTTTCAAACTATGTCCGTCCCTCTGGAAGAGGTGTATGTAGATCTAGGCCAGAGTAGGCAGAGTCGTTCAGTTATCGTTAACTACAGATAATTGTCACTGTTTCCAATTAATGACAAAATGACATTAGCGTTTCTGGAAAGTTCCTTCTACTGCTGATCTTATGTTAAGTCTCTCTCCCCGAAGTGGCAATAGTACTGGTAGTTAAGACCAAGAACAGCTGTGGTCTTGAAATGGATATTGCAGAATCCTCTGATCGGGCATGACGTCTTGAACTATGAGCACCGCTGCAAGCGCTAGGAAAAAGGAAGCTATTGGGAGTCCGAAGTCGTTTGCTCCTGTACCCACCTGCATAGGAAAAAAAGAAAGAAACAGAAATAACAGGAATGGGGAGGTACATGAGATAAAGAGAAAGAGGAGGAGGGAGGAGAGAGACATGCTCAGATAGGAGATAGGGAATACCGTATTTGATGGCCTTGTATGATAAAACCACTTCTAATTATTAATGCCCAATTCAGTTCACGAAGTTTATCATAAATGTAACCTTAAATTCATGGGGCGTGAAGATGTGTGACACAAGAGGCTACGACACAATGCGTTACTACAACCCACTAACTGACCAGGTGCCCCCTTCAAAGCGTCACCTTGTCGTGGTGAGAGGCTCACGTATGACTCCCTGGGGCCGGTGAGGGGGTTGTCTTGGCCCCTCTTGGGTGTTAAACGTTCTAAGGTACACACCCGTTTATATTACTTCTAAGCTGCATCACTTATGAACCCATCCCTGCCCTTGTGTGGCAGTGCACAGTAGAAAGTTGTTTTCACATATCCATACATTAAAACATTGATTGTAACCATGATATATATGTGCTTCAGCCTACAGTTTAGACCTATTGTCTTATGTATGACCCTCTGTCCTGCGTGAGAGTGAATACCAGCATTATCCTCACTTTAATAAGACTATCAAAATCCTCAGATTAGGCAAAATTGTAATTAATTTTGTCAATAAAGATGTTAATAATAATAACTCGTTCGGGTCAACGGTCGCCCCACTGGAGGGCCCCTCCAGTGGAGGGCCCCTCCAGCCCATTAGGGGCTGCCCTTGGTGGATAGTTAGGTGTCCAGGATCGGGTCGAAAAGGGAAAATGAGGTCTTTGCACCAGTGTTACATTTATGTTACAGTGTTACTTTTGCACCAGTGCTACATTATGATAAACTTCGTGAACTGAATTGGGCATTGATAATTAGAAGTGGTTTTATCATACAAGGCCATCAAAGAGGGTATTCCCTATCTCCTATCTGAGCATCAGATCTTTGCACCATTGTTAGTCTACTTGACTTAATCTACTCAACCCTTGAGAAAAGTGAGTTTCCGATTGGACTCTTCATCGACCTGAGGAAGGCCTTTGAAACTGTTACCATAACTACCTCTTACTTAAACTCCACCATTATGGAGTCTGTGGCCTTGCCCTAAACTATATCCGATCCTATCTTAGTGACAGTCACCAATGTGTAGCCATCAATGATATAACCTCTGCTACTCTACCTCAAACCGTAGGGGTGCCGCAGGGCAGCATCTTGGGACCTCTCATATTTCTTATATATATCAATGATCTGCCTAATGTCTCTAATATTCTTAAACCTATACTGTTTGCTGATGATACTACCCCTCATCTATTCAGACCCCAGTCCACATACACTAAATAATGTTGTGAATAATGAATTAAAAATAGTCCACTTATGGATGTCAACTAACAAACTAACACTAAACATGGAAAAGACCTACTACATCTTATTTGGAAGTAAATCATCGAATGCAATTCAGCTACAGATAGACAACATTAACATCAGTAATAAAAATGATGGAAAATTTCTTGGCCTATTCCTAGACAAGAGACTCAACTTCAGCACCCACATTCAACACATATCTAAGAAAGTCTCTAAAACAGTTGGTATACTCTCCGAAATCAGATATTATGTTCCTAACTCTGCTCTCCTCTCACTATATTATGCACTAATCTATCCCTATCTTAATTATGGTATCTACCGTGCTCCTAAATACGGTGGTATTTACCGTGCTCCCTGATATCTGCCGCAGCTCTCCACAAGAGCTGCGGCCACCAGTAACGTCTCCACCTTTGACAGGAGCTGCAGTGAGGGACTACATCAAGGCGGGAGATTTCGCTGCGGCTAAAACCGCATTGGAATTGGACAGCTCACTTCTCAACTGGAGGGATACGGAAGGTAATTGTGTTGTTTCTATCTTCAGTTACCAACTCGGGCTCTTGTCTTTATTGACAGCACCCTCCTTCCCCACCACCAACTTCCAACTTCCAGTGTTACCATTGGCCACAGTTCCCTACACTCTGTGTTACTCTCAGTGGCTGCACTTCCCTTCACTCTGTAACTATCAGTGGCCACACATCCCTACACCCTGTGTTACTATCAATTGCCACACTTCCCTACACCCTATGTTACTATCAGTATTTAAACTTCCCGACACTCTGTTACTATCAGTGTCCACACTTCCCTACATCATGTGTTACTATCAGTGTCCACACTTCCCTACACCATGTGTTGCTATCAGTGTCCACACTTCCCTACACCCTGTGTTACTATCAGTGTCCACACTTCCTTATATTCTGTGTTACTGTTACTTCTCTACACCCAGTGGTTACCCCCCCCCCACGTACCCACACTTCTCTACACCCAGTGGTACTATCAGTGACGTACTACAAATAGCAGTACTTATCTACACACAGTGTTAACGCCAGTGGCTACACTCTCCTACACATAGTGTTACTAATAGTGTTTACACCCCCCCCTTTTGTACCTTTAATAACAGTTAAAAATTGCATTGATATTAGTATTTTTTAGTAAATTTCTATTCATATAAATATTGAGGAACCTGCACAAATTCCTGTTCTTCTGCTTGTTCTTCTTCACGAACCAACACTGCTTTATTTTAAGTGCTAATTAACTATTTTTAATTGCTGATTTGCTTTGTTCATGGACCACGCAGGCATTAATGTATTTTCCTGCATGACTGTTACTAAGACTAACTGGATGACCTCGTTTCCCCAGAACAGTCAGGTGCCTTCCACTGTTGGTAGGGAAAATAATATTTTAGATTTAGTGTTAACTAACAGGGAAACAATTAATGACATCGAAATAGGGAGTGAGCTAGGAAACAGTGATCACAAAGAAATCAGATTTAGCATAGGATTGAATAGATCTGTAGGAGAAAATTCTGTTAAAGTGCCAGATTTTCGGAAACCTAATTTTAATAGCTTATTTTTTTTTGTGTCAAATAGATTGGAAAGTCTTGGGCATAGGGGGTGGGCTGGTCTTGGAGCGAGACATGAAGCCAGCGATGGGTGATGTAAAAAAGGGATTTCAATGTGGATTCAAAATATAACTGATTTAAAAATATTCTAAGCTAAGCACAGGAACGTAGTATAACATTCAAATTGAATAGATCGAATACTAATGACCCAAAATGGATAATAAAGAATCTGTAAAACCATATAGGTAGTAAAAACATAAATTAATAAATGATTCACAACTGTTTTACAAATGGCATTTCATGTTTAACAAATTTGCGGTCATTTTACTCCAGCATAGTTGAGGCAGTTGATAGTGGTAAGGTTTGTGATGTTGAGTACCTTGACTTTAGCAAGACTTTTGATACAGTACTACATGAACGACTGATTAAAAGATATAGGCTCATGGTATTGGGGGTGCTATATTAAGACGGATTAGGGCATGGCTAACGAAAGGAAACAAAGAGTTAATATAAATGGGATTAAGTCAGACTGGGAAAATGTTGTAAGTGGAGTGTCTCAAGGCTCTGTCCTGGGATCTCTGTTATTCATAATATATATAAATTATTTAGATTCAGGTTTGAGCACCAATATTTGCAAATTTGCCGATGATACAAAAATCGGAGGGAAATAAGCACGGAAAGGGATTCACTATCTCTTCAAGACAATCTAAATAGAGTTTTGAAATGGGCAAAAGATTGGCAGTTTAATGCTGACAAATGTAAGGTTTTGAGGTTAGGTAATGATGATAGAGTTACAAGATACGAGCTAGATGGTGTTGAGATTGCGAAGTCGGATTGCGAAAGGGATCTGGGACTTATGATTAATAAGAATTTAAAACCAAAAAATCAATGAATGAATAAATGTTCGTAATAAGGCAAATAAGACACTGGGATTTATTAATCGAAGCGTTAGAAATAAGACACCTGGTGTTGTTCTTTAGCTATAACTTGCTCTGGTTAGGCCCCATTTAGATTATGAAGCTCAGTTTTGGTCGTCGAACTATAGAATGGATATAAATACAATAGAACGCATCCAGCGTAGGATGATAGAGTTAATCCCCCAAATTAGAAACCTTTCATATGAAGAAAGATTGACAAAGCTTTAATTACATTCTCTAGAATTAGGGGTGACATGATATAGGTGTATAAGTGGATGAATGGGCATAACAAAGGGGGATATTAATAGGGCAATAAAAGTATCAACACATGACTGAACACGAAACAGGGGGTATAAATTGGATAAGTTTAGATTTAGGAAAGACATGGGTAATTACTGGTTCAGTAACAGGGTTTTGATTTGTGGAACCAATTACCACGTAACGTGGTGGAGGTGGGTTCCCTTGATTGTTTCAAACGTGAGTTGGACATGTGTATGAGTGGGACTGGGTGGTTATAAATAGGAACTGCCTCGTATGGGCAACTAGGCCTTCTGCAGTTACCTTCATTCTTATGTTCTTATGTTCTAATGTTCTTATGGTGTTAAGGGTCGGCAAGACATTTCTGTGTAGCATTCCTCTATCTCCAGGCATTTGAGGCTGAGGAATGAATTCCTTTTCACTTGCTTGTCGCGCCAAGCTCGTGTTCACCATAGTTTTAGCTTGTAGTTTAGTGTATTCGTTGGGAAGGCGATACTTATTGTAACGTGTTGTGTACAGGACAGGGTCTGCTCCACGTCTCTGCCATGTACGGGGCGTTGACCTTGGCTGAATTCATACTGGAAGCAACCGATCCTGTTTACCCCATAAATCTGGCTACCAAAACCACCGGTAAGTCAACTTTACCTTCTTTGACAGAATTAAATCACTCTAAAGATCACTTAAGATGAACATCCTATTGAATCTTATGTAAACATGTTTCCTTGCCAGTTCTATTGTCTTGTAGTAATAATTATATTCCGCAGCTACTGAAACACACACACACAGTTACGAGGAAAGGCTAAGGAATGAGTTACGAGGAAAGGCTAAGGGAGCTGAACCTCATAACCCTAGAAAACAGAAGAATAAGGGGAGACATGATAACCACCTACAAAATTCTCAGGGCAATTGAGAGGGTGGACAAAGACAAACTCTTTAGCGAGGGTGGGACACGAACAAGGGGACACAGGTAGAACTTAGTACCCAGATGAGCCACAGAGACTTTAGAAAGAATTTTTTCAGTGTCAGGGTAGTTAACAAATGGAATGCATTAAGTAGTGTTGTGGTGGAGGCTGACTCCATACACAGTTTCAAATGTAGATATGATAGAGCCCAATAGGCTCAGGAATCTGTACACCAGTTGATTGACAGTTGAGAGGCGGGACCAAAGAACCAAAGCTCAACCCCTGCAGGCACAAAAAGGTGAGTACACACACACACACTCTGAGCTTTCCGTTCGGAGCATCTACCACCCACATCATCTACCACTCACAATATCTACCACTCTCAGCATCTACCATTCACATCACCTTCCACTAACAGTATCTCCCACTCACAGCATTTACACTCAGAACATCTACCACTCACACCACATACAACTCACAGCATCTACCACTTACAACATCTACCAATCACATCACCTTCCACTCACAGCATCTACCATTCACATCACTTTCCACTTACAACATCTATCACTCACAACATCTCCCACTCACAGCATCTACCAATCACAGCATCTACCACTCAAATCACCTTCATCTACATGCTGTGTTATATAGTGTTCATCTACATGCTGTGTTATGTAGCGTGTTCATCTACATGCGTACATTAAGTAATATGAAATTTAGTAGTATCTTGAATTGAGTAATTTATTACCTGATAATTGATGAAGTCAGCATTCATCAAGTAATTATTAAGTATTCTTTCAAGTTTTTTAATCTTGAAAATAATAACTTTTCCGTAGCGTGTGACTTGTCAGGAGAGACAAGTAGTAGCGATGTAGGCTTAGTTAGTTTTTTGTTTTAGTTTAGTTCATTTATTATGCACCCCATACCCATCTTGTGGGCGGTAGTGGACAGGGTTACAGAGGCACATAATGGGCTTAGCGACGAATGTTTTTTTTTTTTAAAACTTCTCGCTGTGTCACGCGTTTTTTGAGGTAAAATTTTTCAGAGTTTTAGTTCCCGCCGTGTCACATGATTTTCGGTACAATTTTTAGTTTCAGCTGCGTTCTTAAGGAGTTCTTATGGGGAAAAATAAACTCTGAGGACTTAAGTCCTTGTTTTGAAAAATGTAATTCCCAGTATCAGATGTTAGTTATTGGTCCCAGCTCTATACGTTTATAAGTGTAGTTTCTCTACTAATAACCTAATTTTTCTCAGAATTTAAAACCACTGTATTTCGGACGTAGTAAATAAAATCGAGTCAGTTACCGAGTTTCAGCTCCCGTCTTCCGTCTTTGTTTCCTTTACTAGTAACTAGTAACTAGTTAATAGTTACTGAATTAGGCTACTAGTAACTTTGCTACTAGTAGCCCAATTTTCGCCCAATTTAAAACAGTTATATTTCAGACATAGAAAAAGTAGAGTTACTGAGTTCTCATAAAGCACTTTAAATAGCTAGTTCAAATTTTCCTAACTTGCATTTCTGTTTATTAATTATTATGTTTAAAATATATTCTCTAATCTACTTTGTCTTAAACTATTCTCTGAACAACAATGCACTATCCTGTCTGACGTAACTTATAAAACTTTCCAAACTTACATAATGTATCTTATTTAAAACAGCATCTTATTCGCTCTGAAACATCAACTCTTTGTTTATTATTTATTTACCTAGACAACACTCTTTCACACTTAGTTACAACATTGAACTTTAATATTACATTCGCAAACGTATACAGACTTACATAAAATACCCCATGACGCAAACACTTTTACATAAATTTCATAATTACTTGCACATATATATATATATGTCATAATTTCATCTACACATGCAATTACATTTACAAACTATCTTACTCTTATACAAATTCTTACAACTCTGACAAAAGACATACACTCTTACACAAACTATCACTACATATACAAACTCCTTATATATACGAAACATGTAGAAACTTACACACACATATAATTACATTCACAAACTTTTATACAACCTACACAAATACTCAGGTCACTAACTTACACAAACAAACACACATGTGCACATACACACTTTCTAAACTATTACAATATTGTACATACACAAGTTCTTTACAATCTAATACAAATCTATACAAATCACACAGGAGAGACGGCACTACATTGGGCAGCCAAGTACCAGAACGCTGAGCTGGTGAACCTGCTGTGTAATGCCCAGGACTCCAACACTGAGGCCTCAAGACTGACTGATGGTGAGATGACAACTTCCTGTGCCATGTTGGAGGTGGTGTGCATGTTGGAGGTGGTGTGCATGTTGGAGGTGGTGCCCATGTTGGAGGTGGTGTGCATGTTGGAGGTGGTGTGCATGTTGGAGGTGGTGTGCATGTTGGAGGTGGTGCCCATGTTGGAGGTGGTGTGCATGTTGGAGGTGGTGTGCATGTTGGAGGTGGTGTGCATGTTGGAGGTGGTGTGTATGTTGGAGGTGGTGTGTATGTTGGAGGTGGTGTGCATGTTGGAGGTGGTGTGTATGTTGGAGGTGGTGTGTATGTTGGAGGTGGTGTGCATGTTGGAGGTGGTGTGTATGTTGGAGGTGGTGTGCATGTTGGAGGTGGTGTGTATGTTGGAGGTGGTGTGCATGTTGAAGGTGGTGTGCATGTTGGAGGTGGTGTGCATGTTGGAGGTGGTGTGCATGTTGGAGGTGGTGTGCATGTTGGAGGTGGTGTGCATGTTGGAGGTGGTGTGCATGTTGGAGGTGGTGTGTATGTTGGAGGTGGTGTGCATGTTGGAGGTGGTGTGCATGTTGGAGGTGGTGTGCATGTTGGAGGTGGTGTGCATGTTGGAGGTGGTGTGCATGTTGGAGGTGGTGTGCATGTTGGAGGTGGTGTGCATGTTGGAGGTGGTGTGCATGTTGGAGGTGGTGTGCATGTTGGAGGTGGTGCCCATGTTGGAGGTGGTGCCCATGTTGGAGATGGTGTGCATGTTGAAGGTGGTGTGCATGTTGAAGGTGGTGTGCATGTTGGAGGTGGTGTGCATGTTGGAGGTGGTGTGCATGTTGGAGGTGGTGCCCATGTTGGAGGTGGTGCCCATGTTGAAGGTGGTGTGCATGTTGGAGGTGGTGTGCATGTTGGAGGTGGTGTGCATGTTGGAGGTGGTGTGCATGTTGGAGGTGGTGTGCATGTTGGAGGTGGTGTGCATGTTGGAGGTGGTGTGCATGTTGGAGGTGGTGCCCATGTTGGAGGTGGTGTGCATGTTGGAGGTGGTGTGCATGTTGAAGGTGGTGTGCATGTTGGAGGTGGTGTGCATGTTGGAGGTGGTGTGCATGTTGGAGGTGGTGCCCATGTTGGAGGTGGTGCCCATGTTGAAGGTGGTGTGCATGTTGGAGGTGGTGTGCATGTTGGAGGTGGTGCCCATGTTGGAGGTGGTGCCCATGTTGGAGATGGTGTGCATGTTGGAGGTGGTGCCCATGTTGGAGGTGGTGCCTATGTTGGAGGTGGTGCCCATGTTGGAGGTGGTGCCCATGTTGGAGGTGGTGCCCATGTTGGAGGTGGTGTGCATGTTGGAGGTGGTGCCCATGTTGGAGGTGGTGCCCATGTTGGAGATGGTGTGCATGTTGGAGGTGGTGCCCATGTTGGAGGTCGTGTTGGAGAGATCTATATGCTTTAGATATAGATCAACACTTCGGTGAGTTCATGCATTACATTCCTTTCTTCATTTTGGAAATCTTCAGATTGGAGTAATCGTCATGGAGAGATCTCCATGTTGCGGAGATCGTCACATATGATTGGTTATCGTGTTGGGGAGATTTTCATGTTGGAGAAATATCCTTGTTAGAGAGCGATGTCTGTTAGAGATATCTTAATTTTGGAGAGATTCTCATGTTGAAAAGAACACAATAGGCTCGGAACTTTGTGAACTTGTTGATGGAAAGTTGAGAGGCGGTGCCTAATAGGTGAACCATTTCCAATGCAAGATTAATTAGGTGAATACAATTAGGTGAGAATACGTCTGGGAGTATTTGGGATGTGTTCGGGTTTATCATCCAGCATGTTCTCTTCCTTTCATGTTTTGCACAGTAAATATATGTATGTACATTGACACCTGATCGTACGGGTACTTATATATAAGTATTGTCTAGGCTTCACTCCTCTGATGGTTGCTGCCTCCAAGGACTTCCGGGACGGCGTGTCCTCCCTTATAGTATGTGGCGCTAATATGGAACACAAGACCTCGCCTGGTGAGTTATGTTGTGTGGTGTTGAGAGTTGTGTTGTGTGGTGAGTTGTGTTGTGTGGTGAGTTGTGTTGTCTGGTGTGTTGTGTGTTATAAGCTTTATTGTCTGGTAAGTAATGTTGTGTGATGGGTTGTGGTGTCTGGAATGTTGTGTTGTGGGTCGAGTTTTTTCCGGTGAGTTATGATGTTAAAAATCTGCCCCACATTTGCAATCATTTGCTCCAGCGCCCTGCCCGAGTATAATGATTAATTACAATGCATGTCAAGGGCTTACTGCACTGCTCTGTTCCTTTCTCGAGCGCCTTGGGAGTCCTTGCTTTGTCCCTGGCTTTTAATTTGTATATTTGTTTACAAAATTCTTCCCTGGTAGCTACAAAACTAATCAACTTATTTTCTTCGCTTCCTACGTAGATTTGTTCAACTTCAGGCATAAATATCAAGTTTTTTTTATATTTTCATGTAATAGTATTTTCATGAGAGTAGTTCATTACTCTCTCCAAGCACTCCATATGAGTGCTTGGAGAGACTAATGAACTTGAAGACATCCTGCTCCAGTGTGGAGAAGGATATGTCTCATAAAACAAACTGAGCTGAACTGACGCTGATGTTGATACCTTTACCACACTCCAGGAGGCATGACGGCCCTGATGGTCGCAGCTAAGACGAACCATATCAACGCTCTGGAGGAGTTACTGGACGCTGGAGCACAACCTGGAGTTCAGGACGCAACAGGTAAGACAGGAGCCACAGTTACACTCGGAAGGGTTGGTAAGGCTGAGCCACAGTTACACTCGGAAGGATTGGTAAGGCTGAGCCACAGTTACATTCGGGAGAATTGGTAAGACAGGAGTCACAGTTACACTCGGGAGAGTTGGTAAGACAGGAGTCACGGTTACACTCGGGAGAGTTGGTAAGACAGGAGTCACAGTTACACTCGGGAGAGTTGGTAAGACAGGAGCCACAGTTACACTCGGAAGGGTTGGTAAGGCTGAGCCACAGTTACACTCGGGAGAGTTGGTAAGACAGGAGCCACAGTTACACTCGGGAGAGTTGGTAAGACAGGAGCCACAGTTACACTCGGGAGAGTTGGTAAGACAGGAGCCACAGTTACACTCGGGAGAGTTGGTAAGACAGGAGCCACAGTTACACTCGGGAGAGTTGGTAAGACAGGAGTCACAGTTACACTCGGGAGAGTTGGTAAGACAGGAGTCACAGTTACACTCGGGGGAGTTGGTAAGACAGGAGCCACAGTTACACTCGGGAGAGTTGGTAGACAGGAGCCACAGTTAGACAGGAGTCACAGTTACACTCGGGGGAGTTGGTAAGACAGGAGCCACAGTTACACTCGGGGGAGTTGGTAAGACAGGAGTCACAGTTACACTCGGGGGAGTTGGTAAGACAGGAGCCACAGTTACACTCGGGAGAGTTGGTAAGACATTACCAGTCTGGAAAGGGTATCAGAAGCAGATGGTTTTTCCTGGTTCTTTCTCAAACATTTGACAAAGGACTGAGCGGGAAGGGTTAAGACCTCGCTTGTATTGCACATGTTATGAGCGTGAAAGTCTGCAATATAAAGCGATAATTACTTTATTGAAGTTCTGTAATATCTCCTGCAGGCAAGACCCCACTGATGTTCTGCATTCAAAACAAAAATGAAGAAGCCACACGACTCATCTTACAGAAACAAATTGACATAAATAAACACGACAAGGGTAAGTGATTGTATTCACAGATTCATCTCTAGAATTTACATTAAGACAGAATCATGATCTTTTGTTGACCAAACCACACACTAGAAGGTAAAGGGACGACGACGTTTCGGTCCGTCCTGGACCGTTCTCAAGTCGATTGTCATGCTCTTTAAATAATTATAGCGACATTTGTCTTCTAAGTGTAGTGAGGAAGTATTACCACAATACTTGCAGTCTTACCTCAGGGACAAGCAGCAGTAGCTTCCTCTGAACAAGGCTACTTCTCCCTCCCTGCCCATTAACACTGGCGTTCCGCAGGGTAGTGTACTTTGTCCGCTCCTCTTTCTCACAGATGTCAGTGACGTTCCAAATGCAAGTCAACCGCACCAATTCTATTTGCTGATGACACAGCTCTTATTTTCTTCTATGCTAACGCACTTATTCTAACTAACACAGTTAATACTGTGTTATTTAATTAATCCATCTACTCCCTTATCCATTATCTATTCTGTCTGTCCACAGATCTATCCCTCTATTAATCAATCCATCTACCCATCTAACTCATCTATCTGCTATCTATTCTGTCTTTCCCTCTATTAATCCATCCTTCTACCCACTTATTTATCACTCTGGCTATCCTACTATGCAACCATTTACTCCTTTATCTATCCATACATCTAATTTGTCTCTTTGTCCCTGTCTTTGTCTCGATATCTGTCTCTCTCCTTTTTCTTATAAATATTATTGGCTAATGTGTGTGTGTATGTGTGTGTGTGTGTGTGTGTGTGTGTGTGTGTGTGTGTGTGTGTACTCACCTAGTTGTGTCTGCAGGATCGAGCATTGACTCTTGGATCCCGCCTTTCGAGCATCGGTTGTTTACAGCAATGACTCCTGTCCTATTTCCCTATCATACCTGGTTTTAAAATTATGAATAGTATTTGCTTCCACAACCTGTTCCTGAAGTGCATTCCATTTCCCCACTACTCTCACGCTAAAAGAAAACTTCCTAACATCTCTGTGACTCATCTGAGTTTCAAGCTTCCATCCATGTCCTCTCGTTCTGTTACTATTCCGTGTGAACATTTCGTCTATGTCCACTCTGTCAATTCCTCTGAGTATCTTATACGTTCCTATCATGTCCCCCCTCTCCCTTCTTCTTTCTAGTGTCGTAAGGCACAGTTCCCTCAGGCGCTCTTCATACCCCATCCCTTGTAGCTCTGGGACGAGTCTCGTTGCAAACCTCTGAACCTTTTCCAGTTTCATTATATGCTTCTTCAGATGGGGACTCCATGATGAGGCGGCATACTTTAAGACTGGCCTAAAGTAGGCAGTGTAAAGCGCCCTAAATGCCTCCTTACTTAGGTTTCTGAATGATGTTCTAACTTTTGCCAGTGTAGAGTACGCTGCTGTCGTTATCCTATTAATATGTGCCTCAGGAGATAGATTAGGTGTTACGTCCACCCCCAGGTCTCTTTCACGCGTCGTTACAGGTAGGCTGTTCCCCTTCATTGTGTACTGTCCCTTTGGTCTCCTATATCCTAGTCCCATTTCCATAACTTTACATTTGCTCGTGTTGAATTCTAGTAGCCATTTCTCTGACCATCTCTGCAATCTGTTCAGGTCCTCTTGGAGGATCCTGCAATCCTCATCTGTCACAACTCTTCTCATCAACTTTGCATCATCCGCAAACATCGACATGTAGGACTCTACGCCTGTAAACATGTCGTTAACATATACAAGAAATAGAATTAGTCCCAGCACCGATCCTTGTGGTACTCCACTTGTTACTGTTCGCCAGTCCGACTTCTCGCCCCTTACCGTAACTCTTTGGCTCCTTCCTGTTAGGTAGTTCCTTATCCATTCTAGGACCTTTCCCCCCACCCCCGCCTGCCTCTCGAGCTTGAACAGCAGTCTCATGTGCGGTACTGTATCAAAGGCTTTTTGGCAGTCCAGAAATATGCAGTCTGCCCAACCATCTCTGTCCTGTCTTATCCTCGTTATTTTATCATAGAATTCCAGAAGGTTTGTTAGGCACGATTTCCCTGTCCAGAACCCATGTTGATGTTTGTTCACAAACCTAATGTTCTCCAGGTGTGCAACCAGTCGCAGCCTAATTATTCTTTCCAGTATTTTACAGGGGATGCTTGTCAGTGATACAGGTCTGTAGTTAAGTGCCTCCTCCCTATCTCCTTTCTTGAAGATCGGCACGACATTTGCCTTCTTCCAGCAACTGGGCAATTCTCCTGACATAAGTGACTCATTAAAGATCATTGCCAGATGCACGCTGAGGGCCTGTGCTGCTTCTTTTAGTATCCACGGTGATACTTTGTCTGGTCCAACTGCTTTAGTTGCATCTAGAGTTGTCAACTGTTTCATTACCTCCTCTGCTGTCACCTCTATATCTGATAGTCTTTCATCTAGGGTAACCCCTTCCAACAATGGGAGCTGCTCAGGCTCGGTAGTGAACACTCCATGGAAACTGGCATTCAGTGCCTCGCAGATTTCCTTGTCACTTTCAGTATATGCCCCCTCTGTCTTCCTTAGTCTTGTCACTTGGTCGTTCACCGACATTTTTCTTCTTATATGACTGTGTAGTAACTTAGGTTGTTTTTTCGCTTTGATTGCAATATCGTTCTCATAGTCCCTTTCCGATGTTCGTCTTATGTTAATGTAATCGTTCCTAGCTCTGTTGTATCTGCTTCTGTTGTCCTCTGTTCTTTGTCTTCTGTACTTCCTCCACTCCCGTCTGCTGGCCATTTTTGCTTCCTGACACTGTCTATTAAACCATGGGTTATTATATTCCTTCTTATTTTTTCCCTTTACCGTTGGTATAAATCTCTCTTCGGCCTCCTGGCATTTCTGTATGACTAGGTCCATCATATCTTGGACTGTTTTTCCTCTAATTTCTTCCTCCCACTGCACTTCACCCAGATAGTCCCTTATCCTCATATAGTCCCCTTTCCTGTAGTCAGCTCTCCTTTCCCAGATCTCTTGTCCCATGGTCATAAGTTTGAATTCCATCATGTAGTCAAAGACTAGGACACAATGGTCACTGGCCCCTAGAGGTATTTCATGCTCTAAATTCTCGATATCTTCTACGTTCTGGGTGAAAATCAGGTCTAATAGGCTCGGTGCATCTCCTCCTCTTTCCCTTGTGTCTTCCTTCACATGTTGTGTCAGGAAATTCCTGTCTATAACATCTACTAATTTTGCTCCCCACGTTTCGTCCCCTCCATGGGGATTCCTTGATTCCCAATTTATCTCTCCATGATTTAGGTCCCCCATGATCAGCAGCTTCGCTCTCATTCTGTGGGCTAGTGTTGCTGCCTTCTGCAGTTCATCTATACATGCTTTGTTGTTGTCATCATACTCCTGCCTGGGTCTTCTACTGTTTGGTGGGGGATTGTAGATTACCAGGATCACAATCTTCCTCCCATCTACTGTCAGAGTTCCATGTATGAAGCTTGTGCACTCATTGGTAACTCGATTTCCCAGGTCTTCAAACTTCCATTTCCGCTTTATTAGGAGTGCTACTCCCCCTCCCTGTCTCTGTGTCCTCTCTTTTCGTATCACCTGGTACCCTTCAGGAAAGATTGCATCTGAGATCATGTCATTAATTTTAGTTTCCACAATTGCAACTATGTCAGGATCTGCTTCACTCACTCTTTCTTTTATCTCTTCTGCTTTATTAGATACCCCATCAGCATTGGTGTACCAAACCTTGAGATTCTTCATGGAAACTCTTGTACCAGAGTTCTCCCTTTCTCTGGGGGTCTGGGGGGATCTGGGGGATGTCTGGGGGGTGACTGGGGGCAGAGGGGATCTGGGGGGTGTCTGGGGGATGACTGGGGGCGGGGAGGGTCCGGGGGATGTCCGGGGGGATCCGGGGGGTGTCTGGGGGGGTCCGGGGGGTGTATGGGGGGTGAAAGAGTTCAGGAGGGGGGTGTTCAGAAAGAGTGCTTGGGGGGCTACTGGGGGCTGGGCTTCTAGGAAGGTAGGTAGGAGGGTCTGGGGTAGGGCCTGGGTAGGTAGGTCTGGAGTAGGAAGGGCATACTGGGTCTGAAGATTAGGGAGGGCATAGAGGGATTGGGAGACAGATAGAGGTTGAGAGGTTGGGAGGGGGAAGGATAGAGGGGGTGGGGGGACCTCCCACCTCCCTCGCAAGGGTGGGGGGTCACATGGAAGGAGAGGGGATGAGGAGGGGTGAGGGCTGGGTAGGCTTTGGGTGTTGAGGGGATGAGGTCTGGGTGGGTTCTTGGGGTTGAGGGGATGAGGTCTGGATGGGTGTGTGTGTGTGTGTGTGCGTGTGTGTGTGTGTTTACTAGTTGTGTTTACTAGTTGTGTTTTTGCGGGGGTTGAGCTTTGCTCTTTCGGCCCGCCTCTCAACTGTCAATCAACTGTTTACTAACTACTTTTTTTTTTTTTTTTTCCCACACCACACACACACCCCCCCCAGGAAGCAGCCCTGACAGCTGACTAACTCCCAGGTACCTATTTACTGCTAGGTAACAGGGGCACTTAGGGTGAAAGAAACTTTGCCCATTTGTTTCTGCCTCGTGCGGGAATCGAACCCGCGCCACAGAATTACGAGTCCTGCGCGCTATCCACCAGGCTACGAGGCCCCACAGGCCTCGTAGCAGGCCTTGCCACAGGCCTTGTGTGTGTGTGTGTGTGTGTGTGTGTGTGTGTGTGTGTGTGTGTGTGTGTGTGTGTGTGTGTGTGTGTGTGTGTGTGTGCGTGCGTGTGTGGTCGTCAGTGAGACGAGCTCAGTGGTGTGAAATGTTAAATTAAAAGACTAGTTTTCCCTTTATCTGATAAAGGTCCGCAGCTTTCAAAACTTTTGAAGCTGTGGAAGAATCGTCTATTTTATGCAAGTACGGGAAAATTATTCACGGCAGGAAGTTTGTTCATTTTCCCAAGATCAGTGAATAATGGTGTATAGTACTATATAAGAAAAAATATAGTTTTGAAAATATTTAGCTGTGTAGCCGGCGGGCAGTGCCAAAAATCGTCGCGGGGGTCTGAATGTGGCCCTGGCACGCTGTTCCGTTTTGAATTCTGGCGACCTCGACCAGCCTATGTTCATCCCAGACCCCAGACCATTCCCTATTTCAATTTGGGTGAGGCTAGCCACAAGTGTCTGGTCTCGAACTTCGAACAGATAGACTTTCTCTCTTATGGATTTTGTAGACCAAAGAGATTGAACTTGGACTCAAGTACAAGAGTCTGTACTTGTACTTGAGTACAGATAAAAAGTTGTCCTTGTACTTGTGCTTGAAATTTTTCGTAGTTCGTGGACTAAAGTACTAACACGTTCATCACACTTGCACTATGGAATTTACCATAGCGTATTTATAAGATTTCCCAAGATGTTCTTATATTTACAAAACCCTTCTGCATACATTGAATTACCAGATGATATACACGTTTTCTAATTAGACTTTATGTTAAATTATATAGCTCCATGTAGTAGTGTCCATAGGTCTATTCAACAACATTTAATATCTCCTAATGTTTTTTTCTACTATTGAGATAAAATTTCCCTGGTTCACTACTGTAATTACACTGGTTACACAATTTGTTAAATGAACAAATCCACAAGGGCCGTGATGAGGGTTCGAACCCTTGTGGAATTGTTCATTTGATGCATAACGCTATTGTAATTTCTGTGTGAATTTGTTAAAATTTGGAGCTATCTAAAATTTAACACTATATCTGACATAGCATAAAATATGCATTAAGAAGACATACTTTTGTTCACATCTGGGTAATAACTGGTGACTATAAAACACGAAGAGATGCCAAGTCAGGAAGAAGTCGGAGGTTTGCTTACTGATATCCCAACGATGTTCAGACTGCAACTGCTAACTTATCCGGTAAGCTCTTCTGAGGCATAGTCAAGCCTCCGTAGCTGTCACGTGACCAGAGGAAGGCTCCGGCCTGATTCTCGAAGGAGCCTTGGGTCCACGCCCAGCCACAGGGAGAGGAACCTCTCACAGGTCAATATTCACAGATGGGTCTACAGCGTTGATGCTGGCAGCACGCAGCGGGTCACCGGCCATCCTGAAGCTCGTCCTCGCACGCCATCCCATACTCGACCTCGCCGATCACCTTGGTGAGTTAAGCAACATTTAACAAATAATTGTTAAGGTCGGTGCGTTATAGTTAATGTAACTGAGGTTACAACTGGGGCGTAAATGTGCATATTTACTGGAGATGACAGGCAAGCCGTCCAGTAAGAGTCAGACAAGGCCCGGTCCCCTACTGAACTTACCTCCCATAATTTGAATAATGCACCTGTGTCCAAAGGTGTGATAGTCTACTGTGCCTGATGTAGACAAAAACATAGTTATCCCTTTAATATTACTTTTTCATTAACACTTACACCATACACAAAACCCCCTTACTCTACCTCATCTATATTTACTCTAAAGCACCTACCCCACACAGGTAGGAGTAGGGATGTACCCTGGCACACTAGAGGTAGGCCTACAGCTCTCTGGAGACATAACACTTGAAATTTCTCCCCCCCCCCACACACACAGTAAATACTCATTGGCTGAAATGTTTGTATACCAAATACATATTCCTACACTCAACCAGTGTTGCATGTTATATTAGATACAATATATGATTGGTGGTAAAGGTTCATCTAAAATATTCCATAACCACCATTCAATTCACAATTAAAATATTCCTTTACTGTAACCTTCTAGCTTTATACACCCGTAGTCATATTCCCTATTAGCATCTCTAAATAAGCTAGAAGCTTACATACCACCATACGTTTGCCTGTACTTTAATCCAGCAGCTGTTATACGTATAATTGATGCATATGTTTGTTTCCTTGTTTCTTCTCACCTAGTAATTTAGGGTCGTAACAAAAATCAAAAGTTTCTGGTGGAATAAAACAGCTGAACCGAGAAAGAGAACGCTTCTAATAAAGAGGCTCCTAAAGGAAAAATTACCACTTAGGATAACTTAAAGCACTAATTAATACAAATATCTATTAATAACTACATATCTCTGGTATCTGGAGTGTTGCAGGCAGCTTCTCGGCTCGCCTTCCTTCTATAAAAGGAGAATTTCTTATTAATTATTACAGAAAATATGTATTCCGTTCAGGAATATTATAGCAACTTGTCATTAATGAGTGAAGGCTTAAATCATTTATTATTCTTATATACAAGGAATATCTTGGTAAATATCCAAACTGGTCACTGTTTCCATTAAGCTAAAAAAAAAAACACAACTTCTGTACCATATGTGTCAATATATTTCTATGACCAGCTTACTGTTGCATAATTGGTATATAATAAGTTGAATCTTGGGTGTAAAGTGTAATGGTCTTGGTGTATTCTAAGATGTTGAGTGTGTTACTAACGAGCGTAGAATAAGGCTCTTATTATAGAACACTTCACCCCAATCCCAAGTAATAATCAAGCAGCAGTAAGTGGAATGAAACTACTTTAAAACTTTGAAACAATGTCAGTATATTCTGAGCTCATGGGCAAAAGAAACATAAGAAATAAATTCTCCCACTCACTGGATACTCTCCTTTAATTATTACTCAATAACATATTCACACAAACAAGTTGTTATCATCACAGAGATAACAAATCAACACTTCACTTATCTGAGAGAGAGAGAGAGAGAGAGAGAGCGCCCACGGCTCCTCCTCTCACCATGATGTACCACAAGTCACTGAGGACGCCAGCCCGCCTCCCGCTACAACTCTCTGTGACCAATCCTTCATATGACTCAAAAAAACATTTCTATGCAAAGTAAAATTGGCCAACAATGCCAATAAAAATAAATACTTATCAAATAATAATACAGAAGTCTGACAATAATATCATAGACAATAAATCATCACACACTGATTAATGAAACACAACGTATATAATAACTATCCCGGTAGCACAGTCGGGTTCGTTCTCGATGCACAATCGAGAATTTCGGGTTCGAATCCCGGGTTAGATAGAAATGGTTGGGCACATTTCCCTTCACCTAATGCATCTACTCACCTAGCAGTAAATAGGCACTCAGGAGTTAGTCAACGTGTTGTGGGTTTCATCCTGGGCGGGGTCAGTAGTTCAGCCTTTGGGAGGGACCTCGAGAAAAGCCTAATGTGTATCAATACACTCTGGCTTCCTGTCCCCCGACACGATGAATTATTATCATTGTCATTAAAACTAAATACAACCACGAATTAAGTATACAAAGATATGCAACTTTATCAAACCATAGAGGTACATATAACTACTCAAATGTTTTATTATTTGCATATTAGTGGCTTTAGGCATAGTATGTACAAGCTCTATCTAGAAGTCCAACATTCTGTTTGTTACTCATTTTATATGTATGTACTTATACCTGAATGAACATTATTATTATTATTTATTACATTGGAAATAAACATAATTATTTTTTATAAATGACTGAAACAATGAGCCTGAAGGTTGAATCATATTTATTCTTGTACCGTTAAGTGATTTGTAATCTATTAACCGCTGCCCACTGGGTGGAGGGGGAGGGGGGTGCAGGACAAACACATCAATTGTGACACTAGCTCTTCACATATGAGTGTTGCTTAATTTAGAAGCTGTACTTGTGGTCGGTGTCGAGCCCATTGTTTATGTGACGAATGTGACGATGTGCATTGAATTTTGTAACTAGCTCATCAAGACTGTAACTTGCTTAGCTAAATGAATTGTGGGGTTCAGTCCCTGAGCCCATTATGTGCCTCTGTAACCCTTTCCACTACCGTCCACAGGATGGGTATAGGGTGCATAATAAATGAACTAAAGTTATGATCTAGTGAAACCACTGGGCAATATCGGGGTGGCAAGCTCCTTTGGCACCACTGGGCTATATCGGGGTGGCATGCCCCTTTGGCGTCACCGGGGCCTTAACGGGGTGGCATGCCCCTTTGGCACCACTGGGCCATAACGGGGTGGCATGCCCCTTTGCACCGAGGATGGTCTCCATGTGTCCTGGAGTCATACCCACACTCGTGGTTACAATCAATGTTTTAATGTATGAATATGCGAGAATAACTTTCTATTGTGCACTGCCACACAAGGGCAGGGATGGGTTCATAAGTGATGCAGCTTAGAAGTAATATAAATAAAATTGTTCTTTATTCTTTAAAATGGACAAGGAAATTTTGGATAAATTGTTAGGATGTCTCCAGAACACCTGAGTCAATGAAATAGTTACACAGTTGGTGGTGCAATAGACCAGGAGGTTTAAAGTGCTTAGCTCCCTCACTGACTCAGGAACTAGCGTGAGCAGGCTCTCACACTCACACTCGAGCGTTATCATGCTCGCTCGAGCGTGTGGTGAGCTGAGATGGTGATGACACGGTTAGGCGGGAACTGCTATGTCCACCAAGGTGGCGGTAATTCACTTAATAACAACAGAAAGATTTCACAAACACTGAGACACCTTTCCTATTCCCTCCTAGTCAGTTATCATAGTCATATAGAGACGGATGACTATGGATGCTAACGATGATCACGGGTCCTAAACAATGCAGTCCCGTTGTGCCTGCTGGATCACGTGGTGATACACTCTATCTTCTTCGTTTCACTCTTAATTATCGAAATTCCTATCACCGCGATTCCGGAATCTGCTTGACGGACCCGCGTTGCAGGAACGGTGATGAATAAGTTACTAAATGTCGCTATAGACGGTGTTTCTCGCAGTTTGGCTGAACTACGGGAAGACACGTCTCTCAAGCACAGCGACACGGACGGAATGGCTACCCCAGGCGAGGCAGGAACAGGCCACACTTGTCCCCTCTGTCTATGAATCTACCAATCAGAGAAAGCATGGCATCGGCCTAGGGACGCCTCAACAACTGTAGACCTCCCTCTAATCACGTAGTGCCTTCGGTGACGTCACGGCTTCCAGCCCGTATTCATACAAGCGAAGAACCATTGGTCCTCCTGACCGCAAGTCCTCCTCGCTCCTCTCTCCCTCTGTCCATACACTTACATGTTAAATACATGCTAATGGCTCTACCTCCTCTCACAGAGAAGCTACAGCGACCACCGTAGACTTAATGCACAGCCCTGGGACTATGCTCCTCATAGACACCAAGCAAGAGATGTCTAGCTTAAGAAGACATCTACAGAATCTAGAATGATTCGAGTCAGAGTGCAACCTGACGGCTTGCGCTCCAACACTGCCTTACAGCTAGCTGGTAATCTCTTCTCTCACATCCATCCTAAATTATGAATTGTTGAGCTTGAAGCCGTTACTCCTTGTCTGCGTTACATCTGTACTTTCGAGAAAGTTTTAAGTAGTAGTTCAGTATTGTCTTAACAATCAATGAGCCATCGGAAGATGGAGCAGAGTCTTAAAAACCAATTGCAACAATAATTATAATTTATTTAATTAATTAAGAATTTAAACTCCGTCCAATCTTCACCTAATATATGGTGAAAAGTTCACATTTTTCTGTGCAACAACTGTTTTGTTAATTTAAGTAACTCAACCCAAAATTTGGGAGAATTATGCAGGCACTTTGGTAAATTAAACAATTGGTTTTAGACCTGTTAGAGCTCAAATTTTTGGTGTTGGGCCACTTTTGGGAGCAAAACCCACGGATAACAAACTGTTTGGGTGTTATCTGTTTGAATTCATAGGCTATCTTGAGGTTATCTTGAGATGTGATATTGGGGTTCCCGCGTTCCCGCGGCCCGGTCCTCGACCAGGCCTCCTTTTTGTTACACACCCCCATGAAGCAGCCCGTAGCAGCTGTTTAATTCCCAGGTACCTATTTACTGCTAGGTAACAGGGGCATCAGAGTGAAAGAAACATTTTGCCCATTTGTCTCCGCCTCCACCAGGGATCGAACCCGGAACTTCTGGACTTCGAATCTGAAGCGCTGTCCACCCAGCTGTCAGGTTATGTAGAAGATTATTACAAAAAACTTAATGAGTGTTTAACGGTGTATAATTGATCGTCTTTGATTTAAAAAGCTAAATGTGAACACATATGTAGTAAATGATATAATAACCCAAGATTTTTGGAGTATAATGTTGAAGACATTAACCTGTTACAGGGTCAACGGCTCTAGTCTACGCAGCCAACAACGATGGTCGACTTGCTCTCCTGGAGGCCGGAGCCAGCATGGAGGTGCAGGACAAACAAGGTGAAGTATTGGCACCAACCTGCTCGCCTGACTGCTTGCTGCCTTATATATTGACACTTCCTTTAATGTATCAAATATATTTCATGATTACTTTCAGAATAAGCACACGATGATGGACATTTCTACAAGCTCTTGCACATGACTTAATAATATACAGCAATGTCGACATGAACGTAAACTACTCTAACAAGAAATATAAAATAGTCACATAATATTTCCAGAACATTGTTTTCAACATATTGCACACAGTGTGTCTGTATCGTTCTGATTTAGTTTAGTGTTATAACCAGGTGATACACCGCTGATGCGTTATACGAGGGAGTCTAAGAGGGATGGGGTGTTGCTCCTGCTCCAGTTCTGCCCGGATCTCACCCATCACAACATGGAAGGTTAGCGGAACTGATTCCAGGGCGACACTGCGCTGACAGAATGAATCGCATTATAACGACTTATATGTTAAACATTTACTCCTCTGGTACAACCACTTGGGCTGGACGGTAGAGCGACGGTCTCGCTTAATGCAGGTCGGCGTTCAATCCCCGACCGTCCAAGTGGTTGGGCACCATTCCTTCCCCCCGTCACCATCGCTAATCCTTATCCAGATATCCTCCAAGTGCTATATAGTCGGAGTGGCTTGGATATTTCCCCTGACAGTTCCCTTCCCTTCCTCTGGTATATGTCACTGGTATTAATTTAAATTATTTAATTATTTAATTATTTAATTATTTAATTATTTAATTATTAAATTATTTAATTATAATTCACTGTGGGTGAAGAAGGATGTGTTAAAGAGGCACCCATACTCATCATTGTGCGTGGTGGTAGATGAACTACAAACGCACATTATGGGGTCAGAAACTAAACCTCAGTGCTTATCTATGAATACATTCATGAACTCAGAACAACATTTCCTCCACAGATAAGACAGCTTTAAAGATAGCTGAGGAGAAGGAATACAAGTTTCTGATCCAAGCCATCAAAGGTGGGTAGTCACCTGACTCACACTTCACACAAGGATAGTCTTAAAGACACTGTGAATAAAATAAAGTGAAGGTGGATGTAAACAAAATAATAATGATAAATGAAGGTCAAATAATTACTGTAAACCGCAAATGTTTCAGGTAAACTAAGGGCTGCCTGTGAGCACAACGACGCATCCTACAGTCTCGGATACACTAGGTGGGTGGAGACACTGCTTCCCTCTAACACTGCCAGGCACTGCTCCCCTCCAACACTGCCAGACACTGCTTCCCTCCAACACTGCCAGACACTGCTTCCCTCTAACACTACCAGACACTGCTTCCCTCCAACACTACCAGGCACTGCTTCCCTCTAACACTACTTCCCTCCAACACTGCCAGACACTGCTTCCCTCTAACACTACTTCCCTCCAACACTACCAGGCACTGCTTCCCTCTAACACTGTCAGGCACTGCTTCCCTCTAACACTACCAGGCACTGCTTCCCTCCAACACTGTCAGGCACTGCTTCCCTCTAACACTGTCAGGCACTGCTTCCCTCCAACACTACCAGGCACTGCTTCCCTCCAACACTACCAGGCACTGCTTCCCTCTAACACTGTCAGGCACTGCTTCCCTCCAACACTACCAGGCACTGCTTCCCTCCAACACTGTCAGGCACTGCTTCCCTCCAACGCTACCAGGCACTGCTTCCCTCTAACACTGTCAGGCACTGCTTCCCTCTAACACTACCAGGCACTGCTTCCCTCCAACACTACCAGGCACTGCTTCCCTCTAACACTGTCAGGCACTGCTTCCCTCTAACACTACCAGGCACTGCTTCCCTCTAACACTGCCAGGCACTGCTTCCCTCTAACACTGCCAGGCACTGCTTCCCTCTAACACTGCCAGGCACTGCTCCCCTCCAACACTGCCAGACACTGCTTCCCTCTAACACTGCCAGGCACTGCTTCCCTCACTGCCAGGCACTGCTTCCCTCTAAGGCACTGCTTCCCTCTAACACTGCCAGGCACTGCTCCCCTCCAACACTGCCAGACACTGCTTCCCTCTAACACTGCCAGGCACTGCTTCCCTCTAACACTACCAGACACTGCTCCCCTCCATCACTGCCAGGCACTGCTTCCCTCCAACACTACCAGGCACTGCTTCCCTCCAACGCTACCAGGCACTGCTTCCCTCCAACACTACCAGGCACTGCTTCCCTCCAACACTACCAGGCACTGCTTCCCTCCAACACTACCAGGCACTGCTTCCCTCCAACACTACCAGGCACTGCTTCCCTCTAACACTACTTCCCTCCAACACTGCCAGACACTGCTTCCCTCTAACACTACTTCCCTCCAACACTGGCAGACACTACTTCCCTCCAACACTGGCAGACACTACTTCCCTCCAACACTGGCAGACACTGCTCCCGTCTATCACTGGTAGCCACCACCTACTCCGTACCTAAACAACACACGTCCCATGGCTTTGCTTGCAAATGTGCATCAATTATATATTTATGCGTTTTCCATACATTTTGTGTTACCATGTGTAAGTCAGGCGTACATTAGTTGGGATGTGAGAGAACAAAATTTTACGAAGATCTTAAGTGTGTGAAGGGAGTGCACGACGAGAAGTAGTCAGTGTAGAAGTTCCAGGAGTACCATATTTAATAAATCATTAGAGTCAGGCAGAGTGCCAAATTCGTGGAAGGTTGCTAATGTGGTACCAATTTTCAAGAAAGGAGATAGATCACTTGCATCACACTATCGGCCAATTAGCTTAACGTTTATTGTGGGAAAGTTGCTTGAAATGGCTTGTTCGGCTGAAGGCATAGAGTTAAATTCTTCTTTAGTAAAAACAGAGATAAAATATTTATTAAAAATACTACTCATCTCTTCGTCATTATCCGTTATCTGACCTGTCTCCGTTTTTAATGGACCTATCCTTTCCATAACCTTTGTTCGATATAACTGAAAAAATCCTTTAGGATTTGCCTGTAGGATTTTTAAAATTAGCTTTAAAAAAATCTGGCACTTTAACAGAATTTTCTCCTGGTAACCGATCTATTCCATTCCATTCCATGCTAAATCTGATTACTTTGTGATCACTGTTCCCTAGTTCACTCCCTATTTCGATGTCATTAATCTGTTTCCTTGTTAGTGAACACTAAATCTAAAATATTATTTTCCCGCGTTGGTTCCTTAATGTGTTGAGTAAGAAAGTAATCGTCAATTAATTCTAGAAAATATTCTGCTTCGTTATTCCCTGTTCTGTTAATCCAGTTTATTCCACTAAAATTAAAGTCACCCATGACACAAATACTGTTAGACCTAGATGATCTAGATATTTCATCCCATAGATGCTGTGCTTCCATTCTATTTAAATTTGGTGGCCTATATGTAACTCCTATTATATGATTATTTGCTTTTTCGTTTAATTCTAGCCAAATAGTTTCTGTGTGTGTGGCTCAGTTTTGATTCCCTCTTTGAGACTACATTTCAAATTGTCCCTAACATATATATATATGGCTACTCCCCCTTCTCGTCTAATATATCTATCTGTGTGAAATATTTTAAATCCATCTAACTGATATTCAGCTAATAGTTCTCTATTTTCTCCATTCATCCACGTTTCGGTAAGTGCAATTATATATATTTTTCCGTGCATACAAGAGCATTTAAATCGTTTATTTTGTTTCATAGATTCCTACTGTTCGTATAATATACCCTAAGTAAATTGTTATTTTGAGGCTCCACTCTTTCTCTGATAATTTTGCCAAGTTGTTTCTCCCGCAAACACGTACTTTTATTACCTCCTTTCTCCATATCAATTCCCATACCACTATCTACTAACAGTTTAAACCCAAACAAATCCCTCCCACCACAGGTTCCATCGAGTTCGCAACAACAACAACCCCAGCCCTAGATAGATGTACCCCATCCCGAGCATACATGTAATTTCTTCCACTGAAGTTTTCCCAGTAATCTATGAATGATATTGCATTTGATTTGCAATACTTGTCTAGTCAGCAATTGACACCAAGTGCCCTTGACAATTCATTTCCAACTCTCTTTCTTGGAAGAATGCCACATATGATCGGGATTCCTCCCTTAATCATAACTAATTCTATGGCTGTCTTAAACCTCTGAAAATTTCCTAAAAGTTCTAAATCAGTTCCTCATTTCTAACTAGTCCAACATCATTTTCACCAGCACTGATACAAATAATGGGTTTGATCCCATTTCCAGCCATAATATCATTCATGTTGTTAACAATGTCACCAATCCCTGCTCCCGGATAGCAAACGCTTAGCCTGTTCCCTCCTCTCTCTGTCACCAAAAGCTCTATCCAAATACCTCACCTGGGAATCTCCCACAATAAAAATTCGCTTAGTTACTTCCTTTACTTTCTGAGCACCTTGAGGTACCTGCGCTACCTTCGTTGCCTTCCCTTTCGAGCGAACTTTAGGCTTCCCACAGCACTTGTCCTTCAACATGGCAAATGAGTTGGAAGTTTTTAGGACATATGTAGACGGCCTTACTTGAGTCTTCTTAAGATCACTGTCTTTTGCGATATTCCAAGGCGAGGACTTTTTAATACTGGTCTCCTCCTTCGTTTCTTCTTGACGTTGTTTAGGCTGTCGTAGATCCTCCCGGACGGAATCCAACTCTGTTCCCAGAGCACCACATAGATTCATGAGTTCCTTCACTACACCTTCCATTATTACTATGATAGTACAATCGGAGCTCCAGGTAACACACACCCCCTCTCACTGTAAATATCTGCACGTCACTGAAAAAGGTAAGGGATTATTGTATTATAACAATATACCTAATATATTATATATTAGAACAATATACCCTCACACTGGGGTACTGTGACTTCATCACTTAACTTATCTCACGTCATAATGGGGCATCCCTTCTCTCTCATGTCTAGGTTTGAGTCCTGCGTGGAAATGAAGTGTAACCGCAAGTGCAATTGGGAGAAGACTGGCAAGACAGACCCCCAGTGTGATGCCCTGGCCCATGGTGGAGCCCATGGTGGAGATCATAGTGATGTTGGAGACTATGGCGTGGGAGTAAGCTGTGCTGTCGGTCACCGCCTTGAGTGTTGTAGGTGCTGCCAGTGTGTGGACACTTTTGGTGCCGGTGTGGCGGCCGAGAGGGTCTGGAGCAACGTCTCGGCTGCAATTGATCGCCATTAGTACCTTGCGCCATGAACGTGTCCTCTGTCTCCAACTTTATGTAAGTCAACTGTCTTAAAGTCTTCTTCGTTTGACTCTGTAAATAATGTTGAACTTTTGTTCTGGTTGTCTATCTTTGTAGTTGTGTTCATCTTTCCATCTGTCTATCCTGAATTGTATTCATGGAAACTACCGGCTTATCACCTTGCTGCGCCCAACTCTCGTCCTTGCTGATGTCAACTCCCGTCCGTGCTGACGTTGACTCGTGTCCTTGCTCACGTCAACTCCCGAGAGTACATAACGTTATGTACATATCGTACATAAACGTTATGTACATTATGTGTTATACACAAGGACCATATTGTGTATATGAGGTCCTGTCTGTCCCTCCTCCTTAGTTGTATTGATGCTTCTTGTAAGACCTCGTCTGGGAAACCTCTATGCTTGAAAAAGTTGTACAGTGCATTTTCTTCTTCCTGAAATTTGTCTTTATTGCTTTTAACTCCTTTTAGTCTTAAAGCTAAACTAATTTTTTTTTTGAGTGCTAATGGATGGCTGGACGACTAGAGCAACTAGGAGTGAAGATTCGTTGGTTTAAATCGGATAAAAGCTGTTTATATTACTGGAGAAATAGTTATTTTAAGCCTAGATAACATAACATTTAAAAAGGCACATATCTAATCAATTATGTCAAGAGACTGTAAATAGATCATTTATCTAAATTTACCTGAAGGCCACTAATACTAGCGGCCTGGACAAGTACAGGCAGACAGTGGCTTATCAAAGGTTTCTCAATTTGTTCTGATGATAAGTTTTTAGTTGTATCTTAAAATAACAGGTTTGGTATTTACGGTTTCGGCGGGTAGGCGGTTCCTTGAGTTTATAACCCTATGGGGGAAAAATCATCTCCTGTTCTCAATTGTACATTAAATCTCTATGATCTGAGAGAGCTCAACACCAGTAAAGTTCAAATATCAGAATGTACTGGAGGAATTGTAGCAAAAATAACTATTTTTGCATTAATTTCTAAAGGAATTGTTTCCATATTTAGTAAATAGTCGAAAATTCTACTATCTAAAATTGAAAATACTGTAAAATGTTGACTATGGACCGCCGTCACTTTAAGTACTATCTTAACAGGATAGTGGGTTGATTCTAGAGGTTAATTTCCGTCTTGGTGTAAAGGATGCCTTTGCTTTGTCATGAGGTTTATCAATGATCCACGAGAGATAACCTAAGATCAGTGTGAGAGGATGGTCTCTCAAGATTATCCCACAGCTGACTTGAATGGCTCATTACAGTGCACCGATCTCGTGCACAAGCCCTATCTCTGTTAACCCTGGATAGTAAACTGTCATGTTGGGTATCTCCAGGATGCCCACTTAACTAGGAATATGGATCTAAGAGGGCATTTTTACTGCAAAAACCATAATGTTAAATAAAGCGTTCCCAAAACCAACATATTGGTGATCTTCTTGGTCTTACTATTGAATTTCATATGTAATTTGGTTATGCTATCATTATCGGCGTCACATATTACTCATTCCCAGGATTTTGTTGAGGAAGTGAACAAGAAAGGTCGCACTGATTTCCTGGAAGACATTCACTTGTGAACACCAGCAGTTGGGGATGATGACATGGTCGGGTCGTTAAGACGAATAAGAGGACTTCACGCAGGAGAGCAACTCACAGTTACAGCACTGCTCTTGTGCCAGGTTAAGTCTACTACGGGGTCACCATAGCCCGTGCTACTTGGAATTTTTTGTTTCGAGTAGCTGAATCTAAAACAACAAGAGAGCAACTGTATTGGCCGTTGAGATGTGCATCCTGTTCATATTATATAGTTAGGTTATAAAGCACTCAGGAGAGTGTGAAAGATTTTATGTATTTGAAATATTTGAATAAACTACGTAGAATCACAAATGTGTTTTTGTTATCCTTTGTTGTTACGCCATTGCCATTGACTAGGGAGCCAGTCGGCCGAGCGGACAGCACGCTGGACTTGTGATCCTGTGGTCCTGAGTTCGATCCCAGGCGCCGGCGAGAAACAATGGGCAGAGTTTCTTTCACCCTATGCCCCTGTTACCTAGCAGTAAAATAGGTACCTGGGTGTTAGTCAGCTGTCACGGGCTGCTTCCTGGGGGTGGAGGCCTGGTCGAGGACCGGGCCGCGGGGACACTAAAAAGCCCCGAAATAATCTCAAGATAACCTCAAGATAACCTCAAGATTGTGTGAGGATTGAGCCTGATTGTAGTCCGTTGAATAATACTAATAATAATTCATTTTGTCGGGGGACAGGAAGCCAGGTAATACATACAGAACACGTTAGGCTTATACCGAAGTCCCCCAATCCCCCAGGGTCTAATTACTGACCCCGCCCAGGATGCAACCCCCCCAACAAGCTGACCCCCCCCCTGGGTATATATTTATTGCTAGGTGGACAGGTGCATGTGGTGAAAGGAAATGCGCCCAGCCATTTCTGTGCCGAAAAGGATTCGAACCTTGAATTTTCGATAGGGAGTCGAGAACGAACCAGACTGTACTACCGGGGTTTGACGAGGTATTGACATATACTGCACATGTATAGTGATTTCCTGAGCGACAGTAAGATCCATTGTCCCAGGTCAGTTCCGATAGTCATTGAAGAGCTGAGTTAATGACTGATTGTCCCTGAGTGATTAGTTAGGTTGTTTCTGCTGGAGTTGGTTATCAATTGAACGTCCCATGTGCAGGCGATGAGTCACAATAACTTGGCTGAAGAATGTTGACCAGACCACACACTAGAAGGTGAAGGGACGACGACATTTCGGTCCGTCCTGGACCATTCTCACAATCGACTTGAGAATGGTCCAGGACGGACCGAAATGTCGTCGTCCCTTCACCTTCTAGTGTGTGGTCTGGTCAACATGAACGTCCCGTGTCTCTAACACGAGTTAGCTTTGACCGACACTAATCAGGAGTAAATTCAAGCACCCAGTGTACTGGCGAGTAAGTTTAATCATTAAACTATACTATTTATTTATTTATTTATTATTATTTATTTATTTACAAGAAGATACAATGGGTGTTTGAAATTATGAAATAATGGTATCATTTCATTCTTACGTTCTTGTTATCTGTAACCTTGTGGTTTCTCTTAAGCCATTCCAAAGATAAGTGCTACTTACGGGTTCACCATACGCTGCAAGAGGGTTTTACTCCCGAGTATCTGAATCAAAAACAAACTGTTACTTGAAAAGCGTTATAAAACATTATCATTTGTCCTTTATCTTTGAACATCATACAAGCCCACTTTTTTATGAGCACTTGAGTGAGTAAATATTGACCTGATAGTCTCACGACCAATGACGTCGTTGCTCTGGGAAAACCACAAGTGGAGGACCACAAACAAAGAAGTCTAGTAACAATAGTATTGGACTTCTTTGTTAGTGGTTGAACTACTCTCTAGTAGTAGAGTCTAACCAAGAGAACACTGGGTGCTCTAGTAGTTACTAAGGATTATTATTGACGTAAAAAAGACGTCAAACAAAATTGATATGAAGATGAAGCTTGCACCTGTACCTAAGAAAAAGTAATGTACTCAAACACCTGTGCTTCCCGCTCTCACATGTGGAATGGTTTTTGTGGTACGTGTTCTCGGTGGAATGGGTTGTGTGTAATGTGGAGGTTGGTGGTATGGGTTGTTTGTGAAGTGGTTGTAGGTGGTATGGGTTGTGTGAGACACAGTTGTAAGTGGTACTGTAACGTATCGGAAAATGAAAGAGAAAGGAAAGTAGGAATAAAAATCAAAGGGCGAGGGAGGTAGAGAGGTAGATAGGAGGTGTGAGGAAGAGCGGTTAGGAGAAACAGAAAGATTTAGAATAAGAGAGAGAGAGAGAGAGAGAGAGAGAGAGAGAGAGAGAGAGAGAGAGAGAGAGAGAGAGAGAGAGAGAGAGAGAGAGAGAGAGAGAGAGAGAGAGAATGGAGAGAGAGAAAGAGAGAGAGAATGGAGAGAGAGAGAGAGAGAATGGAGAGAGAGAGAGAGAGACAGAATGGAGAGAGAATGGAGTGCTAGAATAGTGGAAATAATAAAAGGTTGCTGCCACCATCCATTCAAGTTAAGTATATATAAAACAAGGAATGGAACTTGTCTGCATAACAATATTATCTAGTGTTATCATATACACGCTGTACGAATATAACTCATAACCAAGAATCTTTAAGTCAAAGATTCTTGGTCGCTCTACCGTTCAGCCCAATCACTTGGGCTGGACGGTAAAGCGACGGTCTCGTTTCATGCAGGTCTGCGTTCAATCCCCGACAATTCAATCTTCTCATAATTTTTGCATCATAAGCAAACATTGAGAGGAATGTGTCTATACCAGGGGTGGGCAACCTTTGGCACGCGTGCCAAATTTGGCACGCCGATGACTTGTCTCTGGCTCGCAAGAGCATAGGTTACCCTAAGCACAGATGCAAGCACATGTCACCCTAAGCACAGACAAAAAAAAACTACTTTCCTTGGGGTATAAGCTTACATGCCATGACAGTATATGTACGTCCTGGTGGTGAAGAGGTTTAAGCTCTACGAAGCTAAAGAGGTCTCAAGAAAAAGAAGTTGATCTTATTGCCATAGTTACCTTCTTTTTTTACGTCATCGATCATGCCGATGTATGATGATTCCCCTCTATTTACTTTGGCTCATATTTTATGTAATAAGCCTTTCTAACCTAAAGGCTGCACCCATAACCATAATGTACACTGACAATCATATCTGTGAAGGCAAAATACGCCATGCCCGCCCACCTTTAAAAATTAATTTCGTAAACTTTGAATTTAAACCCCCACAACATCTCCCCCCCCTAAACCTCATGTGTTTGAATGCCGCCCGACTTCAGTTTGACGCATATTAATTAAACTCACTTTACTATCTAAATCTAAAGCATCTTCACCTTCGAAAGCTAAAGAAAGATAAGAATTCTTATGCTGTCCCCTTCTTTCCATTGACGGCCGTAATATAACCAGTGAAATCAACAGTCCCTCACCCCCATGAAGTCCCCGTAATGAACACATGTTCAGACGATCTCAGACTCGTAACTCTCTCGCAGTCTTGCTTTGTAGTGTTTCTCACAGTTGCTCACTTGCCTCCTCCCCGAGAAGGTCAGTACTTCATCTCCAGGTGAAAATTATTCCTCTTATAAATCAATAACTTTGTGAAACTCAATATAATTGTAAGAATAGTCTTAATCCTTAAATTCACACGTACTCGCTCGCCTGCTCCCTAAGAACAGAGCTGGCATAAGCAAGATGTCACCGACTCAACGATGTTTCGCCACAACACACCACACAAACACACAAAAACGGGTTTTGTCTATCGAACCAAGTGAATTCTTATAAACTCTTGGTATAAGTACTCAATGCCTAGGAATCTGTGTATAAAGGACTAAAAACGTACAACCATGTTCGTTGGCTTAGCAGAGGCTTGGTTCTGAAACGATTTATTGAATGCATAGATGAGATAAAGCTCTATTTGAACGACCAACAAGTGTCATACCATGAATTTTCTGACATCGTGTGGGTTTGTAAACTGATGTTTTTTGCAGATTTTTGTGAACATTTAAATGGATTGAATATTAAGTTACAGGGCTCTCGTAAGACACTTGATGTTATGTTTTGTTACATAACAGCTTTTGAAATGAAGCTTAAAGTTTTTAAGAGGGATGTAGATAATGAGAGATTTAGATACTTTCCAAACCTAAAGAGGTACATCAGTGATCTAAAAGATGACAGAACAGACCACAAATGTCTTCAAAAGTTTGTAAACATTATCGAGTCAACAGTTTGGCAGTTCTCTACAAGATTTGCCAAATTCAAAGAACTGGAAGACACAGTAAAGTTCATCAAGTTTCCAGACAGCATCAAAATGGATGAACTAAACTTGCAAATGTTTTCATGGATAGACATGGATGATTTTAAGATGCAGTTGATTGAATTTCAGAGTAGCTCAATTTGGAAGCAGAAATTTGTTGACCTTAGAGTTGACTTGGAAAATATTGAAAGAGAGAGATTAGAGATGAAAGTAACAAAGAGAAATGCGGAAAACGAAGTATTAAGGACTTGGAATACTATTCCAGAAAATTATGTCTGTTTAAAAAACCTTGCAACAGCATTGCTAACCATGTTTTCGTCTACATATGCTTGCGAATCTTTGTTCTCAATTATGAACTTTGTTAAGTCTCGTAACAGGAGTAGCATGACAGATGAAACTAGCGCTGCATGCATATCTCTCAATGTTACTAAATATAAACCCGATGTAAAATCTCTGTCATCAGTTATGAAGCAGCAGAAGTCTCACTGAATGTATATAAAAGGAGTCAGCAAGTTTTTTATCTGTTGTATTCTATTAAAGTCACAAAAGCTTAAAGGCTGTTGAAATGTACTTCTGAAGGTTAAATAAAAAAAAAATTCTGTTTTTTTTATACTATGTTTTACTGCACTGAGGTAATTTATTATTTTTTCGTTTAAAAAGTTCTTAAGAGATACCAAATATGTTCTGAAAAAAATGGTTGGCACGTGGAAAAAGTTTGTGTCAGAGACTTGGCTGATTTTGGCACGCACTCTCAAAAAGGTTGCCCACCCCTGGTCTATACCCTCTGGAAGATCGTTTACATATATCAGAAAAAGGATGGTCCAAGTACAGAGCCCTGTGGGACTCCGCTGATGACATTTCTTCGCACTGAGATTTCTCCCCTCAGTTTCCCGTTGCTTAGATATTCCGTTGTCTATTGGAGCACCTTACCTTTAACTACAACCTGTTTCTCCAACTTTTGTAACAACCTCTTATGGGGTACGGTGTCAAAGGCTTTCTGATAGTCTAAGAAAATGCAGTCTGCACACCCTTCTTTTTCTTGTCTAGTTTTTGTTGTCTGGCCAAAAAATTATATTAAACCTGTGAGACACGATTTACTATTCCTGAACCCATGCTGGTGTATGTTACAAAACTCCTTCTCTCCAGATGCTTTGTGAGCTTTTTCCTCACGACCTTCTCCAACACCTTGCATGGTATACAAGTTAGGGACACTGGCCTGTAGTTCAGTGCCTCTTGCCTGTCACCCTTTTTGTATATTGGGACTACGTTAGCTGTCATCCAGCTTTCCGGTAGAACATGCTAATCAAGGAACCTTCAGAAGGCCTAGTGTTCCATTCATGGCACCTTAGAGATCACAGCAGGGATAACGACCGCACTTTCACTTACAGCGATTTCGCTGTTCTGTTTTGTAGTTCGTCTTTCCTTGAACTCAACACTTACATATATCGATGTTAAATCCCCAAAGGGAGAGAGGGGAGGGGGCAGGAAAGAGGAGGAAGAGAGTGAGGGAAGGGGTGATAGAGGAGAAGGGAAAAGAAGATGGGCGGAATGTGGGGTTTGGGAGAGAAAGATTCTCCCGGGCACCTCCTCCTAATTTATATATATCTAAACTATAACGAGAGAATGCCTGTTTGTCTGTCCAAAGTTGAAAGGCAGACACTTGCGGCTAGCCTTACAAAACTTTGCATGGGGAATGGTCTGGGTTCGGGGCAGACATAGGCTGGTCGGGTTAGGCTTATGTTAAATGCTTTACTAAATATTAGAATTTATAGAGAGACCCTCCATATGACTTTCGTTCAGTTAAATGTGTAATATTTGGTGTGATTCCCATAGAGGTCTTAATTATCATAAAACCATATTTTCTGAGCGATTCATTCAGTTGCTTCAGTGCTTCTTAATAATTCATTTTGCTGTTACACTAAGCTTTTACTGCTGGTAATATCCACTGTGAGTAATTGGGTACATTGTATTGGCCATAAAATCATTATAATATATAATAATTTTTTAAATATAAGAATATTTATTTAATAAATGATGTCATTGAAAATTCGTATGTAAGAAAAGCACAATAATAAAGCCATTGAGATTCACGGTGACCTTCCGGCTAAAGGTCAGTGTGATACACGCTCAAGTGATAGCAACATGTTGTAAACATCATATCTTGATGCCGATTACAACAGCTACTTAAAATAGATTGAACAAAAAGCTACAAGGACAAAAACGCAAGTTGGATGACCTGGAAGAGACGTGAATGTGAGTTGAAGGAGCACAACAGATTAAAGCTGGATGAGGAACACAAGAAAGAACGGAGGGAGTAACACATGGAGAGAAGAGCAACTCAGGTGAGAGCTGGGAGGAATGGTAACATACATTTGTTATGCCAGTGAGATGCTCTCCACAAAAGCGCACTTGCAAACAGGGAAAGTAGGTAATGCCCTGTCAGTGTATAGTTTATGGACTAAAGCAGTATTTTAGCAAGTTAGCCAGCTCTGCACTGCTCATTTTAGGTTCGAAACGTTGACTGAAGTCTGGGATCACCAGACGTGACTCTTCTCAAGGGTGGACTCGTCAACAGCTCGAACAGAGCATCCTAGGTGCACATTTGACAACTCATTCTTTTTAAAACGCACTAAATGCTCGATAGACCTGTGTCTTGGTGGACAGCCGCAGCTTCAACGAGCGTGGTGTGATTAGGTCGTAAGCTAGCTAGGGAAACCCATACCACCAAGATATCTCATCTTGAGATATGATAAGGAGTTTTCTTAATTTTATTTCGGGTCATAATTTATGTTGTTCTCTAATGGTAAAGAGAACAACTTTTTACATTGTTGTCTAGTAAGTAGTATATTTCATGTGTAACGTTTCTAAAAGAACGTTACACTGGTAGTAGGAGTGATTGTTGTAAACGTTACAATGGTGACTGTGACCATTGTTACAATGGTGGCTTAGCGGTGGTTCAGTAATGTTTGTCAACTTATTGAAAGCTCACGCGTATATTTCATTTGGTTGTGTTATATGTTAAGGAGTGTAGAAGTTAAGTGAGTAAGTGCCTTGTGGTGACAGTGAAGCAGTCACTTAGGCTCCGCTTTGTGTCGGTTGAACGGGGTATAATGCTCAACGCCCTATGAACTATTCAGAGGTGCAGGCTTATCATTATAGGCAACAACAGTTATGTTGAGCTGACCGGGCAGAGATAACCGTGGGACGCTACGTGTTATCTCTGAGAGAGTTTTCAGGCGGCCCAAAGGAGCCAGAATCTGAGGTAATCTTGTGAAGGCGCAAAAACACTGAGGAACAAAGTATGTAGATTTTTAGCAACGAATTGCTGAAATAGAGGGAATACAGAGAACATATACGGCACGCATAGACGCAATAAAGCACCTAAATTATTGGGATCGTCTCAAAGCCCTCCAAATGTACTCACTAGAAAGAAGACGAGAGAGATATAAAATAATATACACCTGGAAGATACTGGAGGGCCAAGTACCAAATCTACACAGTAAAATAACAACGTACTGGAGTGAACGATATGGAAGAAAATGTAGAATAGAACCAGTGAAGAGCAGAGGTGCCATAGGCACAATCAGAGAACACTGTATAAACATCAGAGGTCCGCGGTTGTTCAACGTCCTCCCAGCAAGCATAAGAAATATTGCCGGAACAACCGTGGACATTTTCAAGAGGAAACTAGATTTATTCCTCCAAGGAGTGCCGGACCAACCGGGCTGTGGTGGGTATGTGGGCCTGCGGGCCGCTCCAAGCAACAGCCTGGTGGACCAAACTCTCACAAGTCAAGCCTGGCCTCGGGCCGGGCTTGGGGAGTAGAAGAACTCCCAGAACCCCATCAACCAGGTATCAACCAGGAATTGATAGTAGTGTTCAAGGACTAGGTGTAACAAGTTGGTTCAAAGTTCTGATCTAGCCGTGTGTATGAAAGTTGCTTGTTGTAGTGTCGGACTCTTAGGTTGGTCGTGGTCACCCAGGATATTTTGTTCACTTTATTACAAAATAGCATATAAATAAAAGACAAGGTACCGAAGCACCATAACATTGTCGAATACCACAGGATACACCTCCAGCAACAGAGCACCATTCTAATACAAAAACAAATACACCAAACCAGTACATAGATACTAAAACACGATTGAAACACAAGCATGAGGAAAACTGACTCCTAGGATTTATTTATTTATTTTAATACAATTTTTAATTTATTTAATGAATTCTAATTTATAATTTCTATTAATATCTATATCAATTTATTTTTTTTGATAATTGATTTATTTTGATAGTGGATTGTACAATGTTAAAGTGGACTGTATGATATTTAAATCCCACAAATCGTTTCCTACACAAGTTGGGGTGTATATTATTTTTATTGTCTATCAATCAAAATTATCGGTTGGCAGACATTCACTACAATGTTACTAGGTGTTAAGACTACAAATGATTAGCCTTATCTGTATAGTTTATTTTGGCCCGGTCAACCTGACATGAACACAGATGATCGCAGATTAATACTCCTTTGAGGTGAGTAATCACATGTTACATGTTGTACCAGGTAGTTGATTGCTAACTCTTCTTTCCCTTAAATTTCACCCGTCAAAATGGGGGCACGCAGTAATAATCGTAACCAATATATGACAGTTATATCAGGGGGAATTAATATGATTAATTATTTATTGATATTTACCCTTTTTGGATGGTTCACCTTGCATTCTATAAACATCAGAGGTCCACGGTTGTTCAACATCCTCCCAGCGAGCATAAGAAATATTGCCGGAACAACCGTGGACATCTTCAAGAGAAAACTAGATCATTTTCTCCATGGAGTGCCGGACCAAGATGGATATGTGGGCCTGCGAACTGCTGTAAGGAACACCCTAGTGGACCAAACTCTCACAAGTCAAATCTGGCCAAACTCTCACAAGTCAAACTCTCAAATTTGCTTCTAGGCAAACAACAAGCCATGTATAGATAAACTCCAGACAGCAGCAGCAACAACACATAGAATGAGAGCTAAAATACTAGTCATAGTGGGAGCTAAATCGTAAAGAGATTGACTAGGAATTGATGAATCCCCATGGTGCGAAAGAAACGTGGGGAGCAAATTGTTGTATGTTATAGAAAGGAACCTTTTAACAAAACATGTGAATGATGACACTAGAAAACAATGAGATACAACAAGTCTATTGGACCTGATCTTTACTCAGAACGAGGAAGACATCGAGATCTTGGATCATGAAATACCACAAGGAGCTAGCTTAATATCTCTCTCTCTCTCTCTGTCTGTTTATCTATCTATCTCTCTCTCTCTCTCTCTCTGTCTATCTCTCTCTGTCTGTCTGTCTGTCTGTCTGTCTGTCTGTCTGTCTGTCTGTCTGTCTGTCTGTCTGTCTCTCTCTCTCTCTCTCTCTCTCTCTCTCTCTCTCAAAAGTGAATCGCTCAAAAGTGAATTACTGATGGTCCATCACTACATATTGGAACTTTCAACCAAATAATTATTATGAGTCCTCTCATTTCATGATTATAAGGTTGGAATGAAGATGAGATACAATAATTTCCTTGAAATCCTGCGTATCAGGCGCCGGTCACGCAGTACCCGTCAGCGATTGAGAGCGTGACCAAGTGAGTCCCTGTTGTGTATATAGGCGGAGAGATAAGCAGTATGTACAGTTCTCTCTGGGCAGCTCCCTGGCTCACTACTCATTTTTGACCAGACACAGTTACAGAAAGAACCGGTAAGCACGGTACTGTTTGGTTTTGATTGTTGCTGCCGGAGGTGCGCCCCATACTCATCCTGTGAGTGGTAGCGCAAAAGCATTACAGAGGGCACAAAAGGTCTTTATCAAACCTCATCTTAGACTATTACATAAACAATTTCATCTATCCTTCACACCTAATAGTTACATGTCAGCTAGTTACAGAGAATGTTCTTTTTCAAGTATATTTCCAGTAAGTCATTATACATTAATGTGGGTCTTATCGCTAATACATAATTGTTTGATCAATGGAGATATTACAGTCATAGGGGATATGTTGTTTATTATTAGTCTTCACAATACTGAGTTTCTTAATCTCATGTCATTTATCTACTGCAAGCGAAATATGGAATCCCCAACATTTTTATATTTATCCTCTCGTTAAGTATGCTTATATATCTATGTCTGGCTTCTGAGATAAGCACGTTATTACTTGATTGCAAACTGTTTATTGCTCGTAGTGAGGAAAGGGAGTCGGAAATAATTAAGCTGTCTACTTCAGTGTTGTCAATAATTTCGAATGCTACCGACTTAGCTTGCATTGTGAATGCCCAGTTACTAATTCGTATATTCCTTTAAATTGTGCTGCCATCTGGCTGATAACAGCACTTCCTGCTCTCCCTGTAGCTGTATTGAGTGATCCGTCAGTGTATATGGTCGGTGTTATGTTGTTTTCAGTTTGTATATTGTGAATGTGTTCTATGGTGCTTAATTTAGCAGCAAGCTGAGCATGAGGGTTGTTTGTGTTTAGTTTCTTGGTGGTGTATGCAGGCGTCAGGATGTCAAAAAGTACTATCTGCCAGGGTGGAAGGAAGTGTTGTACTCTTTCATCTGTATATACATCGTGCAGTCCCATCATTTTAATATGAGTGGCTGTTCTTTGAATCCATTTAGACTCACTGGTTCCATTTCGTATGTGTTCTAACAGTTCAACTGACACAATATTGTTTTTGTTATCACGCAGAAGTTTTAGTCCCATCATAAGATTGATTTCAGATATTCTATCTCGAATGCTAAGTATATTTAGTTCTTTCGGCATATTCAGAACTTTGGTAGTTCTAGGAAAGCCAAGTATAATTCTGAGTGATTCATTTTGCATTTTTTCCAGTCTGTCAATACTTTTGCCATTTTGCAGGACTAAACCTGGTGCATGATAGTCTATCAGAGACCTTATATATGCTAAGTACATCATTTTTGCTATTCTAATATTAACACCATATTTAGGGCTGTACCCCACTACAGTTCTGAGAGCCTTGAGTCTGTCTCTACATTGTTGATGTAACTTATTGACTGCAGTTGAGGTACAAGGGACAGAGACACCAAGGTATTTGAAAGAAGAGACATAGTCTATTGGTATGTTATCTATCTTAAGTTTTCGTGGACCACTTTTGCGGTTGCCAAATTTGTATGTTAAATATCTTAGTTTCAGCAGCGTTGATTACAAAACCAAGGCTCTCACAGGCTGTATGTATACAATTTAAGATTGTTTGTATTTCGCGGTGAGTTTTAGTACCATCTAGTATTCAAGGCCCGATTTGCATAATAGGATAAGTAATTTTCCCTATTTTCAAAAAAATGCTTCCAATTGGTTTATTTTAAATAACATTGTTATATTTTATTAGGAACATGCATTATTGACTTAGTTATGTTAGTTTAGGTTACATTAGGATAGGTTAGGTAATTTAAGTTCGGTCATACTTCTACATTAGTCTTAATTTAAGTTAAAGAAAATTAAATCATATATATTAATAGAAAGCTTTATCATTTTAAAGGAAAAAATAGAAAATATATTAATTCAGGAAAATTCAGCTTATCAATCAAAAATGGATCAAAGTTATACAAACCTCAAAAAATGTTCAAATGGAATGATTTGGTAATCTGTATTAAAGCAGATTCTATAATGTTTCCACTGAAAATGATTTTTCAATTAGGTTTTGAAGAAGCCCTCTTTTAATCAATTTGGTGACAGCTTTCTGACAAATGAATAAACAAAGCATTAGACAATTGTCCATGTCTTACAGAATATTTATATAGCAAAATTCTAAATTTCAAATCTTTGGATATTTGACCTGCATAGAACCTATTAGTCTTTACTAGGTATTTTGTAAATGACAGTTATCACTATGAGGACTGTTTCTAATTAATAACTTTCCAACAGTATTTTCATAAATAAACAATACATGTATAGCAAACATATTCAAGGCCTTGATATAATATTGTCAAAGTCTTGAATCTTTGTGCATTATTATTTTGTAAATTGAACAATTGTTCATCAGTGATGGGTTACACGAAATTCTAAATAACATAACTATATATTAATAATATTATTTGTCGAAACAAATGAAACTTTTTAATGTGTACAAATCCATTGAATAAAAGTAATAAAAGAGGTCTTCGCGACCCATTGAAGACACACGAGCTAAGTAAAAAATAGACACAATAACTACAACTAAAAAAGCGAGTCAGCTCTGCGTCAGTTCTTGACATATCTCAAAAGAAAACATTTTACATTTACAGAAAGCGTAGCGTAAGCAACATGTCTTCGCTTCTTCATGTAGTAGGAAGAAGCATGTCAGCAGCGAGGGTGTGGCGTCCGGTGTGCCCCATCTTGCAGCGCCTCAGTCAACAACGGGCCACACCTCGTCTCAGGCCTTTTTCCTCAGCTATGGCAATGCAGAGCCCCCACCGCCAGCCCCAATTGTAAGATATATGCTTTATTGTCCCATCAATACTAATAGTATTAAGAATAGAAACGTGTTATGAAATTTAGTCTTTTAAAAGTAATATTTACAAAATATATTATATATTTTATTAGCAGTCTTTCCTAGACATATATTATTAAATATGACCGAAAAAGTAAGATTAATAATTCTAACACGAATTTTCTCAATCTTTCGTACATTACGCTTCACTGTTGGAGGTAAATCAAAAATCAATTCTCCAAAATTCATTTTTATTTCTAGTCTGACGCGACACGGGCGCGTTTCGTAAAACTTATTACATTTTCAAAGACTTTAGTTCACAAATACACAACTGAATAGAACTTACGTATCTCCGATTTTATATCTACATTTGAGTGAGGTGGAAGGGGTGATGTGGCATTAACACAAGACAGAACAAAATGTGGTATTAATAGGGTATTAATTTCATCAACACAAGACAGAACAAGGGTATTAATAGGGTATTAATTTCATCAACACAAGACAGAACACGAAACAATGGATATTGAATAGAAGTGTTTGTAGAAAGCCTATTGGTCCATATTTCTTGATGCTTCTATATTGGAGCGGAGTCTTGAGGTGGGTAGAATATAGTTGTGCAATAATTGGCTGTTGATTGCTGGTGTTGACTTCTTGATGTGTAGTGCCTCGCAAACGTCAAGCCGCCTGCTATCGCTGTATCTATCGATGATTTCTGTGTTGTTTACTAGGATTTCTCTGGCGATGGTTTGGTTGTGGGAAGAGATTATATGTTCCTTAATGGAGCCCTGTTGCTTATGCATCGTTAAACGCCTAGAAAGAGATGTTGTTGTCTTGCCTATATACTGGGTTTTTTGGAGCTTACAGTCCCCAAGTGGGCATTTGAAGGCATAGACGACGTTAGTCTCTTTTAAAGCGTTCTGTTTTGTGTCTGGAGAGTTTCTCATGAGTAGGCTGGCCGTTTTTCTGGTTTTATAGTAAATCGTCAGTTGTATCCTCTGATTTTTGTCTGTAGGGATAACGTTTCTATTAACAATATCTTTCAGGACCCTTTCCTCCGTTTTATGAGCTGTGGAAAAGAAGTTCCTGTAAAATAGTCTAATAGGGGGTATAGGTGTTGTGTTAGTTGTCTCTTCAGAGGTTGCATGGCTTTTCACTTTCCTTCTTATGATGTCTTCGACGAAACCATTGGAGAAGCCGTTATTGACTAGGACCTGCCTTACCCTACAGAGTTCTTCGTCGACTTGCTTCCATTCTGAGCTGTGGCTGAGAGCACGGTCGACATATGCGTTAACAACACTCCTCTTGTACCTGTCTGGGCAGTCGCTGTTGGCATTTAGGCACATTCCTATGTTTGTTTCCTTAGTGTAGACTGCAGTGTGGAAACCTCCGCCCTTTTCCATGACTGTTACATCTAGAAAGGGCAGCTTCCCATCCTTTTCCATCTCGTAAGTGAAACGCAGCACGGAACTCTGCTCAAATGCCTCCTTCAGCTCCTGCAGATGTCTGACATCAGGTACCTGTGTAAAAATGTCGTCAACATACCTGCAGTATATGGCCGGTTTCAAGTTCATGTCGACTAAGACTTTTTGCTCGATGGTACCCATGTAGAAGTTTGCAAACAGGACACCTAGGGGAGAACCCATGGCGACCCCATCTACTTGCTTATACATGTGCCCATCCGGGCTCAAGAAGGGTGCCTCTTTAGTACAAGCTTGGAGTAGTTTCCTCAGAATATTTTCTGGTATGTCAAGAGGAGTACAGGCTGGATCACGATACACTCTGTCGGCTATCATTCCGATTGTCTCGTCCACAGGTACGTTGGTAAACAGCGATTCTACGTCCAACGAGGCTCTTATCCCTGTGGCCCGTGTGCCCCGCAGTAAGTCAACAAATTCCTTTGGAGACTTCAGGCTGAAGGCGCAAGGAACATAAGGAGTCAGCAGGCCGTTGAGTCGCTTCGCCAGTCTGTACGTGGGTGTGGGTATCTGGCTAATGATTGGCCGAAGTGGGTTTCCAGGCTTGTGCGTCTTGACATTTCAAGACGCATAAGCCAGGCAACCGTGAAAAGCCATGCAACCTCTGAAGAGACAACTAACACAACACCTATCCCCCCTATTAGACTATTTTACAGGAACTTCTTTTCCACAGCTCATAAAACGGAGGAAAGGGTCCTGAAAGATATTGTTAATAGAAACGTTATCCCTACAGACAAAAATCAGAGGATACAACTGACGATTTACTATAAAACCAGAAAAACGGCCAGCCTACTCATGAGAAACTCTCCAGACACAAAACAGAACGCTTTAAAAGAGACTAACGTCGTCTATGCCTTCAAATGCCCACTTGGGGACTGTAAGCTCCAAAAAACCCAGTATATAGGCAAGACAACAACATCTCTTTCTAGGCGTTTAACGATGCATAAGCAACAGGGCTCCATTAAGGAACATATAATCTCTTCCCACAACCAAACCATCGCCAGAGAAATCCTAGTAAACAACACAGAAATCATCGATAGATACAGCGATAGCAGGCGGCTTGACGTTTGCGAGGCACTACACATCAAGAAGTCAACACCAGCAATCAACAGCCAATTATTGCACAACTATATTCTACCCACCTCAAGACTCCGCTCCAATATAGAAGCATCAAGAAATATGGACCAATAGGCTTTCTACAAACACTTCTATTCAATATCCATTGTTTCGTGTTCTGTCTTGTGTTGATGAAATTAATACCCTATTAATACCCTTGTTCTGTCTTGTGTTGATGAAATTAATACCCTATTAATACCACATTTTGTTCTGTCTTGTGTTAATGCCACATCACCCCTTCCACCTCACTCAAATGTAGATATAAAATCGGAGATGCGTAAGTTCTATTTAGTTGTGTATTTGTGAACTAAAGTCTTTGAAAATGTAATAAGTTTTACGAAACGTGCTCGTGTCGCGTCAGACTAGAAATAAAAATGAATTTTGGAGAATTGATTTTTAATTTACCTCCAACAGTGAAGCGTAATGTACGAAAGATTGAGAAAATTCGTGTTAGAATTATTAATCTTACTTTTTCGGTCATATTTAATAATATATATATATATATATATATATATATATATATATATATATATATATATATATATATATATATATATATATATATAACTGAAAACTCACACCCCAGAAGTGACTCGAACCCATACTCCCAGGAGGAACACAACTGGTATGTACAAGACGCCTTAATCCACTTGACCATCACGACCGGACAAAATGAGGTGATAGCCGAGGCTATTTGAACCACCCCACCGCCGGCACTCGGATAGTAATCTTGGGCATAGCATTTTACCAAATCACCTCATTCTTTGGGGCACACGTGAGGAACACAAATGCGAACAAGCCTGAATGGTCCCCAGGACAATATGCAACTGAAAACTCACACCCCAGAAGTGACTCGAACCCATACTCCCAGGAGCAACGCAACTGGTATGTACAAGACGCCTTAATCCACTTGACCATCACGACCGGACAAAATGAGGTGATAGCCGAGGCTATTTGAACAAACCCACCACCGGCACTTGGATAGTAATCTTGGGCATAGCATTTTACCAAATCACCTCATTCTTTGGGGCACACGTGAGGAACACAAATGCGAACAAGCCTGAATGGTCCCCAGGACAATATGCAACTGAAAACTCACACCCCAGAAGTGACTCGAACCCATACTCCCAGGAGCAACACAACTGGTATGTACAAGACGCCTTAATCCACTTGACCATCACGACCGGACAAAATGAGGTGATAGCCGAGGCTATTTGAACCACCCCACCACCGGCACTCGGATAGTAATCTTGGGCATAGCATTTTACCAAATCACCTCATTCTTTGGGGCACACGTGAGGAACACAAATGCGAACAAGCCTGAATGGTCCCCAGGACAATATGCAACTGAAAACGCACACCCCAGAAGTGACTCGAACCCATACTCCCAGGAGCAACACAACTGGTATGTACAAGACGCCTTAATCCACTTGACCATCAGTCCGCCTTGGGCACCCGCCTGGACCATCGGACCCTAAGTATTGGTGTTGCTCTGCGCCTTGCCGCCCCTATCTCCACCGAGCACCGGTGTATTTGCGGCCATGCACGGGCAGACCAATACGGCAGCCATGGTCTCATCTGTCGTAAGACACAGGGAAAGATTGCCAGACATGAAGCAGTCAATGACATCATCAAGAGAAGTTTGGCTTCAGCTGGGTGCCCAGCACAAAGGGAACCTCAGTTGTGCAGGCCTGACAACAGCCAAAAACGCCCAGATGGAGTCACCCTGCAGCCGTGGAGGGAAGGTAAACAGGTCGTGTGGGACTACACGTGTGCATCCACATTGGCTGATACCTATCTACCTTACAGCGCAGCTGAGGGAGGCGGGGCGGCCACCTTCAGGGAGACCCAGAAAACTAACAAGTACAGGGACCTAGAACGTTGTTACAGGTTCGTGCCAATAGGCTCTGAGACTCTGGGCGCCTGGGGTAAATGTGCACTTAAGTTCCTGAAGGAGCTGGGCGAGGAACTCATTGGGAAGACTAGAGACCCAAGAGCGGCCAGTTTCATGTTCCAGCGCCTCAGTGTCGCTGTTCAGAGGGGAAATGCGTGCTGTATCTTGGGTACGCACCCGACCCCCGAGGAGCTGGACGAGGTCTTTGAACACTGACTGGTATATTGTTATATAAGTGTGTGTTTCTGTAAACTGTAACATTGCAATAAAATAAAATAAAAAAAAAAAAATAATAGGGGTGGTAGGAGAGGAAAAGATTAAAGTATTCAGTGAGAATCCACAAGGTCTTCTCTGAACACTATTTATTTTCTTCTTCGAGGATGTGGGTCCCTTTAATTAAACCAGTGGTGGTACCCCTATATATATATATGTCGTACCTAGTAGCCAGAACGCACTTCTCAGCCTAATATGCAAGACCAAATTTGCCTAATAAGCCAAGTTTTCCGGAATTAA